AGAACACAATGAAGAGAGATAAGAAACAAGAGAATAAACCAGAGAAGCGACTCTCCTTTCTCCCTCCCCCCCCCCAAACAAATAAATCAAAATTAGAGGGGAATGATTTAGCAGAAAGTATAATCAACATGCAAGATGCAGTACAAAAAAATCTCCCACCTAATACAGAAAAAGACCAGACTGTTACAAAGGCTTTTTTGGAAGAGGCATTTGCCTCTCTGTTTGAAAAATTCAAAATTGAAATCAATAACATGAGAACAGAAATTAAAGAAGAGCAATATCAAATAAAGATGCAACTCCAAGATAATGAAGTGCACATACTTCAGCTGAAAGAAAAACTTCAACAGCAAGAGAATCTAATTAAAAAACAAGATGATACAATTTCAAATATGAATAAAAAAATTGCTGAGTAAGAAGATAGAATGAGAAGAAATAATCTAAGACTCCGAGATATACCAGAATCTATCACACATGAACACCTGGAAATCTATATATTGGATCTCATAAAAGCTCTTGATATAGATATATCAGGATATAATCATATTTTGGAGAGATATCACAGGACATTTAAACCTCCAGAAATACATAGCTCAAAACCACGTGATGTCATCATAAGTTGCGCCTCGTCCAGACTCAAAGATCAGATCATGAAAGCGCCAAAGAAACATCCATACGATTCCTATATACGCACAAATAAAGATCTACCCAGATCTTTCTTACCATACAAGACTAGAAAGAAGACGATATATCAATGTAACAAAAATACTCATAAATAAGGATATAAAATATAAATGGGGTTTCCCCACAAAAATAATTATATCCTATGACTATAGTACAGTGTCATTCGACTCCCCAGAAAAATTGGCCAATTGGCTTAAAGAAAAAAACCTGCAAAATGGAAATGAGCAAGAGAAGATTTAACAGTGTATATATTTTTCATGTTCTCTCTTCCCTCTCTCCCCTCACGCCTCTCCAGAAGAAAAATATACTATAGGAAAATAATGGGTCTTAGGACTCTTCTTAAAAGGTACCAAACTCCTATTAATATACAAGGCTGATATAAAAGATTAACATAAGAAGAGGAAAATTGAAGGAAATTTAAATTTGAAAACATCAGGTGTAACAGGACTCTCTACAACAATTGATAACACGATTTAAAGAGATGTAGGAGAAATTTTTTATTTATTTATTTATTTTACTCTCACAAAACTTTACCAGATGGTTTACACTGGTAATCCATTTGTATACCTATTTTGAATAACAATATAGAATAATATGATTTCGTAAAGCACAAAACCCAAAGAATAGTATTACACTAAGATATATCTTAAATAAAAGGGGGCATAGAGTTATTAGAAGGGTTTTCCCTACTATTTAGAATGATATTTGATAAAAAAGGAATATGGATATCACTTAATACAAGTAAAATAAAAAAAGAGAATTATTGCACATATTATATAGTACGTAATGAAACACAGATTACTTGCACAAATTAATAGCAGAGGCCCTAGGACATTAAATATCCATCCTCCAAGGACAAAATAGTGGATACCAGAAAATGAGAAGGGAAAGAAGAGGGGAAAGTGAAGGGGAAAGACGAGACACAGAAGACAAATTTAAAGATAAGATTTTACCAAAGATCTCAGATTCCCAATTCAAAGAATTGAATGCCCCAATCTCTTTACAAGAAATATACACTTGTATAGAGACTTTGAAACCAAATAAAGCACCAGGTCCAGATGGATTTACAGGGATCTTCTATAGATTACTTAAAAAAGAAATATCCCAATATTTAGAGACTATTTTTAATGAATTTATATTAAAAACCAAAATCCCACAGGAAATGCTCAAAGGCAATATTGCCCCAATATTAAAACCTGGTAAGAACCCAGAGAATGTAGAGAGCTATCTGCTGATCTCTCTCTTAAATACAGACATCAAGGTATATGCGGGAATATTGGCTGATAGAGTCAAATGAGCAGTCACCCATATAATACTTAGAGACCAGGTGGGATTTATCCCGGGACGACTCTCTACTAACCATATAAGAAATATGATAGGGATACTGGAACAAGCTAGAGAGGAGTGTATACCCATGCTGACCCTGTCATTGGATGCAGAAAAAGCATTCGACAGGGTCAGCTGGGCTTTTGTCAGAGAGTCCCTAGTAGCATTCGGGTTCTTGGGTGAGATACTTAGTGCAATAATGGCCCTATACAGTGATCCCCAAGGTAGAACTGTGGTGCCTGGAATTAAGTCAAAATAGTTTGAAATTTCCAATGGTACACGCCAGGGATGTCCCTTATCACCATTACTGTATATATTATCAATTGAACCCCTGGCAGTAGATATAAGATCTAATCACGGAATTAAAGGATTTGGAGAAGGTAATAACCAAAAAAATCAAGTTATATGCTGATGATGTACTGATAACTATCCAGAAACCTGAGGACTCCATTAACCATGTGGTTGATACTATCAGAAATTATAGCAACTTCTCTAATTATAAGATAAATAATGAGAAATCTACAAAGCTATATTTAACTACATCCCAAAATAAAATTGATAGTATAGAAAAAAAACATGAATTTAAACAAGTTAAAAGTTATTTTAATTATTTAGATATAAAAATTTCCAAAAATCCAAAGAAATGGTTAGAGAATAATATTCTTCCCTTAATTAAAGAAACAAATCTTAACTTAAAGAAATGGAAAACTCTGGAAATCTCCTGGTTAGGGAAAATAAATACATTAAGAGCATATATTGTACCAAAATTCTTGTATATTATGAGAATGATTCCTATTAAGATCCCAGACAGTTGGTTAGAATTAATTCAAACATCATTTACTAAATTTATCTGGGCAGGCAAGAAACCCAGAATAAAAAAAGGTATTATGTCTAGGAAAAAAGATGAAGGAGGTATGAGTATTCCAATTACACAAGACATTGCACGAGCTAATTTATTAGCGCCTGTCTTAGTGATAAATAAGGAAGACTCTGTAAATGAATATTGGTACAAAAGTGAACAGATTCTGACCTCGGGAGACAGGGACTATAGAACTCTCCTATGGTCAATGGATAAAGAAACAAATCATTGTATTAAAAAATCTAAATCGATGACAGTCCAACAAATTTTTCTCACTTGGTCTCTATTTAAAAAAAAAATTGGGCTAAAAAAGAAGATAATCCCCGGCATAAACTTAAGTATACTGGCAGATATAATGACAGATATAAATTTAGAAATCTGGACCAGACGAGGTATAAAAACGATATCTAATCTTATGACAGGAAATAGAGTAAAATCTTACGAACAACTCCAAACTGAATATAATATGCCTTCTAGTCATTGGTTTATTTATATTAGGATAAAATCCTTTTAAAATATAGTTTTAAGATCCAACCCTCTAGATCCACCAGTTAACCTTCTCTCAGACTTCTACGAGCAGTCAGACTATACCCACTTGGCAAAAAAATGTCAAAACATAATTTACAAGACTCAGAGTAAATCAATTCCCTCAGCAATTATTAAATGGAATCAAGAACTAGCAAAGGATATAAATATGAAAGAATGGAATAACTCTCTTAATACGATATATAAAGTCTGTCATTGTCTAAATATACACAAAACCCATTATAAAATACTAAACAGATGCTATAATACCCCCTACAAAATAGCAATAATGTATCCTACAACCCCACCAAATTGTTGGAGATGCAATGAATTAACTGCAGACTTCAAACATATTTGGTGGGATTGTCCGAAAATTAGACCTTTATGGGATATGGTAAACCAATATTTATCAGTTTTATTTGAAATAAGGGTTGAGCTGACCCCAAGTATGGCCCTATTACATATGGATATGACAGGCATCAATAAAGAATTTAGACCTATTATTTTTCACCTCCTAATGGCGGTGAAGACCTCGATAGCCAGGAATTGGAAATCCCCTACGGTAGACAACTGGTCTAAGATCCATGCTCAAAGCATTATTCAATGTAAAATGGAAAGGGCCATTACTAATTTGGTACCAAATGAGGGCCATTAGTACACATACTGGGATAAATGGATTAAAAAATTGGACCCTGAATAAGGAAGTTTCCCTCACTATCTGTTCTTTTCATGGTGGATTTTCCCTATTTCTTTCTTTTTTTTTTTTATCTAACCGCATGGTTTACATCTGTTTAGGGAAACGTTTGAGCCCCCTCCCTCGAGCCTAATAACGGAAATTATTTATTTATTTTTTCTCTTGCACCCACAACCGAGTAAATGTTTGTATGTTTGTTAGTTAGTTTGTTATGTATTTGATTGTTTAATAAAATTGTAATAGTCTTAAGATAAAAGAATTAAACAGAAATAAAGCAGATAAGGATAAAGAGTGAAAGAGAAATTTAATAAAACATATGATGATTTGGTATTTGACAACTTCATTTACGATTACATAAGAAATGAAATAACTAATACCATATTCTGATGTGCAAAAAAAATAAATCATTCAGGTGAACACAATCATAAGCTGTGGTGATTTCAAGGCATTTAACGGGCTATATGTAGAATTCACTTGAGTGCTATATACAGCTCATCTTCCAGTCTGGGGCCACTAAATATGCTCTAGCTGACAGAGAGGAGGTCCAGGCCCAGGGGTAAGCAGAGTTTTAACACTTCTCTCCCCAATTGTAAAAGATGTTCCATGACATCCTAAGTGCTTTAAAGCCCAATATCTTCAGGATGGCATGGAACATTCTAATGTCACAGATGGGTTAAACAAATATAAACGTATTATCACTGTTGGAACTTTGAGATAAGATACTGGTGCACAGGTTTTGTTTTTCCTCTTTTGATCAGATAAATACATTTCTATTGTGATTTTTGCCTTTTTTTAAGCTGTGATTATTTTTTGTCTTTTGCAATTTTTAGTAGCATTTCTGTTAGATTAGACACTCTATAGTTCTTGTTATTGAGTACATTTCTATACAATTAAATCTTATCTAATATAGTCATGTTAGATGCTTACCTTTGTAGGAGCCACATAGACTACAACACCTGTATCACTTTTCCTCAGAACTTTTTCCATACAGTAGTAAGAAGCATATGTCTTTCCCGATGATGTTGGGGCAACAATGACAGCTGATTCATTATTATCAACAACATCAAGAAGCTCTCTCTGGTCATAAAACAAAACAATTCCTTGTCATTCATCTTTTTATATAGAATGTAAATAATTGATATACAACTACTGCAATAAATATGAACAAGTCTACTTGATTATTTTTTTTTCTCCTGATGGATGTGTGTACATTACCACAAGTGGAAATAAATAGATAATAACTAATACATAATAATATTTATGTGCTGGTACATTGTGTAGATGTGTAACAACATAAATATAGTTAGCATGCACTGCATATTTTGTGAAAAATTACTTTTTCTTCAGTCTTACAAAGATCTAGTTTGAACTTAAAGGATAACTGACACCTCAAACTATTATTTAACATATTAATCCTTTTGGGCAAGAGAAAAGATCTGAAAGACTTTGACATGGGTCAAGACTGGCTAGAAGACTGGATCAGAGATTCTCCAAAACAGCAAGTCTTGTGCTTAGTACCTTACAAAAGTGGTGCAAGGAAGGGAAACCAGTGAGCCAGAGTCAGGCCCAAGGCTCACTGATGCACATAGGAAGCAAAACCTAGCCCTTCTAGTGCAAGCACATGGAAAAACTACTGTAGCTCACGTTGCTGAAAAACATAATGCTGGCCATGATAGAAAGATGTCAGAACACACAGTGCATTACAGTTTGCTGTGTATGGGACTGCATGGTCGTAGACCAGACAGAGTGCCAATGACGACTGGTGTCCATCACCGTAAGCTCCTTCAATGGGGACATGAGCATCAAAACTATAGCAAGGAGCAGTGGAAGGAGATTGCCTGGTCTCATAATTCACATTTTCTTTTAGATCAGTTAGATGGCTGAGGGTGGGGAGAGCAGAAATGGCAGCAAGATGCACTATGGGAAGAAGGCAGGCTAGTGGAGGCTTTGTTATGCTCTGGTCAATCTACTGCTGGGAAACCTTGGGTCCTGGTATTCAAGCGGATGTTAGTTAGACACTCACCACCTAGCTGGAGATTGTTGTAGACCATGTAAATCAAAGACCAGGTATTTAACTCTTTTAAATTTTAATACATCTGAATAAAAGTACAGACGTGGACACAATAGCATTAGAAATACAGATTTGTATTCCTAATTATATAGTGTTCCTTTAAAGAATTTACCCATCTAATCACTTTTACTCTAACTGGTTATTTTGTCAGTAAAACAAGTTGTTAGTAGAGAAACAACATTCCCTGTGAAACATGAAGCATTTTTTTTCAGAGTCTTTAATGTGCCCACTTGCTTAATCTAAAAACAGGGCAAATGTTTACATTAACTCTTTTAAGTTGACAGACATTTTAATTAGAAAAGATCACATTCAGCTTCCAATAAGCCATTTAACGGTTTGGATTAATCAAAAGAGCACTCCACTTCTCATAGAAATCAGCACTTTTATAAACTGGTATTAAACAAGTCTACTCAACAACAATAAAGCACTTCAGCAAGATGAAGTACTTTTAGGGTGTGGTGTGGTCCTTTAAATTGCCACCATTGAGAGCCAAAAGCTAGCATTTACATTGAAAAATTAGGATCAGTGATTCAATTCCAATTATTGGGCACATAATCCTTGATAAGTGGCTGACTTTGGCATGTAAAAGTAGTTAAAGGGTACTGTAACCCTTTTCCAATGTAATATGCTCTATTGGCCACTATGGAGAATGTCATACCTCTCAACTTGTAGTAAAACCTGCTACAAAAAAGTTTTTACTCGCCTGGAATCCAGTGCTGGGCATAGCTCCCAGCACTGATCTTCCGCGCCCCCTCCTAGGTCATTGGGGATGTGCGCTTTCAGTCCTGGCACAGGATTCTCATAGAGAGGGGGTCGTGAAGGGAGGAAAGGGAAGGGAGGATTTAAAAAAAAAACATTTTGGGCTGCCAATGTTATATGTGTTGGCAGTGCATTTCAAGTTGAAACACTGCATACACATACTCCTACCATCATAACCACTGAAATGGTCATGGCTTCAAGTTTATAGGTTTTAAATCTCTTTCAAGTTTCAAGAGAAGTAAGATTTGTCTGTCAGTGCACTCTTGCACTCTGCACACACATACTCACTGACAGACACACATAGACTCACTGACAGACACACACACATACTCACTGACAGACACACACACGTTCACTGACAGACACACACACACACATTGACAGACACACACCCAGACACACACACACATACTCACTGACAGACAGACATATACTCACAGACAGATACACACATACTCACAGACAGACACACACATACTCACTGACAGACACACATACAGACACACACATACTCAGACACACACATAGACAGACACATACTCACAGACAGACACACACATACTGACAGACACACACACATACTCACTGACAGACACACAAATACTCACAGACAGACACACACACTGTCAGACACACACACACATACTGACAGACACAGACACACACACACTGACAGACACACTTACTGACAGACAGACACACAAATACACACACATACTCACTGACAGACAGACAGACACACACACACATTTCTTTTTTGCTCCCTACCTTTTGAAGCTGATATGGGGCATCTCCCTGGGGTCCTTCTATCTGCCCCTCACTGCTCCCTCCAGTGCGCGATTTAGTGATGCCGGGTGCCGGAATATGACGTTATATTCCGGCACCTGGCTTCACTATGACGGCCCACGCGAGTGAGCAGTGAGGAGCAGGAAACTGAGCTCCCTCGCTGTTCCTCCTCCCCGGCCAGGTAAGTTTTAGCAGAGCAGGCATCTGCAATGTGGGGAGAGCAGGTGCCTACTCTGCTATAACACCAGCATGTACTCGCGGCTCGCCGGGCCACAAAGATGGTCCTTGTGTGCCGCATGTGGCCTGCTGCCCATGGCCCACGAATTTGACATGCTTAGCCACACTGAGTTGGACACCTGGCCAACATTTTGGGTTATGTCTATCCCTTCAATATTTTATTAGTAGCACCCACCCACCGCCCATGTGTGGGCACTAAGCGGGGCATTAGGACCCTCAATTCATTTCAATTAAAGCCCAAATGTGTTGTCCACCTCACATTATTTGTCAGCCCCAACCAATTACCCATAGAAAAGGGCATGGGGAGGGACTTGTCCTAGGTATTCCTGTATTTTATTAGCAACTGAGCTGTTTAGTAAACATGCCCCCACCTGCAGTATAATAGGTGGCAGCCTATAGGAGATGTTAAACCAACCTTGTACTAATATTGGTATCATATTGATCCTCACAGGCTTTTTTTAAAATTACTTACACAGTTAATCATTAGAACGGTCAACTAATGTGCTTCTGATGCACATTTGTATGTGGTTTTATTTTCAACATATGACCCATTTACCAGGTTCAGCTGCTTGAATCTCAGCTGGGATCAAATTAGATTAAGAAACAGTTGATACTTATTGACATATGTTTGCCAATAGAATTAAACTAGGCCATAGTAAGAATTCTACATTAAAACAAGTAGTTAGTGTTTTTTTATTTACATTTATTTGCAACCATTACCTGCCATGTATCTGGTATAAAATGTTGCACCCTTGGGTCGGGATCAGTCCTTTCATCTCTTAATAAGTATGGACCCATGTACTGCATTTGAAATCTAGATGAGCCAACCCCAACTGCATATTTAGTCTCTTTCTTCTCAACTTGAACTTTGGATACCTTCTCATCTACAAGGGTGGTTGCCTGTAAAATAATTTTAAAAATCATTAGAACGTAGTACAAAAAAATCACAATAGTATAGATTTATCGAGAATTACATTTTTTTTTATTTGAATTCTCAAGCAAATGTCTGGAACGTAAGAAGAATCATATAGTTTAAGGGATTATGAAGTAAAATTATGAGGTATATGTAAAATCCTGGACCTTAAAGGTGTATGAGCTGCACCAGTTATTTTGTTAATGTAAAGGGATTATTAAAATAATCATATAAGATGCATTTGTAAATGTAAAGCAGTATACAGGATTGAAAATACCTAAATGAAATCACTTGTTAAAAAGCATATAGTATGATGACAGGGGCAGACGCAAGAACATCAAGATAAGAGAGGCCGGGGAGTCAATAACGCTAGAAGAACTACCCCACTTTATCAGAAATCTAGCAGCGGCAGTGCTGCCAACGAGACAGGGAAAAAACCTTCTCATTCAATAGAGTCTACAGGATCTCTAAATCCCCACAAGCCCCTAACGCAGCTCCACAGGATCTCATATTGCGGTGCCAAACGATGACGGACAAACTGGGACTGCTGGCTGCGTTAAAGAAAAAAACATCCTTTGAGTTTGAAATGTGCCAACTCTCATTTTTTCAGGACTTAAGCAGGGCTACACTACTGTGGTGCAAAAATATGCAATTGCTTAACAAACCACTACAAACAGCAGAAATCGCTTACAGATGGGCAACACCTGGGGCACTTTGGGTGATGAAGGAGGGACAAGGCCACCGATCCAAACGAAGGCCCAGCACTGCTGGCAGCATTGGGACTCCCTCAACAACATGAGGACTCTATGCTAACGCCTAACCCTCAATCACAGACCACAAGCAATGAGGACCCGGTCACCTAAACTGTGACTAGGGCACTTTAGTGTTAGGAATACACTTTTGTATTCCTAACTCTATATTGTTCCTTTAAAAGACGGTCTTTGGGGGCCACCACTCAATTTTCTTCAGGCCTGTACTACTTTAATTTTATGGTAGATGAGATCAAAGAGTATATCTTTTCTCATTCAGTGTGATCCAAGCAACACAAATCCCTATAATTAACCATCTCACAGTCCACATGTTGGGCTGGGAGAGGAGAGCATGACTCCCTTGCAGGTATTGGAAGTCACTCGAAGTTTAGATGTTAGTAAACAACTGTGACGATACCTTACCTGTGTCCGCCGATCCCGCGCAGCACGGCGGTTCCCCCGGCTGCTTCCGGGAGGCGGCGCAGCCTGTCAGACGCTACCCGCTCGCTGCGAAATCAGTTTTATGACGCGGCGCATGCGCGCCGACGTCATGATAGTTTTGCCGCGAAAATTCAAACGCGGTCACGCTCCCGGACCTTTTGGGGGCGTGGCTTTAAAGTGACACACACATCAGTATAAAAGGGCATCCCTGTCCACCCCTCAGTGCCCTAGTGTGGTTCTTGATTGTTCTTCTGGTGCTCTTATACTTAGTTATTTGTTTTTCTGGTATTTTGACCCTTGGCTTCCGTACTGACGATTCTCCTATCTGGCTCCCCGACTTTTGGCTTGGCTTTCTCGTTTATCCCGATTTCCGTACTCCCTTGATCCTTGACTTTTTTTGACTATTCTCTGACGTTAAGTCCGGCCACCCTAAGGTCCGGTATACGTCCATTTCTGGGTTACCATCTGTGTGAAGGGGTCACTGTCGTGACATTACACTAGGGCCATGGACCCTGCAGGTGCTAATCCTCATGGCCCGGTTCCTGATAATCGGTTTGAGGAACTGGACCATCGTATGGACCAGTTTGCTGTAGCTGTTCAGACCCTGTTAGCTCGGACTGCACATCTACAGCCAGAGGACCATATCCAGGGCCGGCCTTAGGGGTGTGCGAGCTGTGCGACCGCACAGGGCGCCATGGAACAGGGGGCGCCCTGTGTCCGACACAGCTCACTCATGGCCGGAGTGCAGGGGAGCTAAAAGAGGTACCTGGCTGGAGGATTAATTATTCTCCACCCGGGTCTATTTAAAAAAAAAAAAAATCGCGGCAGAGGGGGCGGGGTTTACCGAGCGGCGGAGGCGGGGCTTATCGAGAGGCGGAGACGGGGCTAATACCTCCCGAAGCCCCTGCTGTACAGGAAGAGGGAAAGATGCTTCCCCATCAGCCAACTGCATCCACTGGAAAGAGGTAAGTGTGTGTGTGTGACTGTTTGCCTGTTTGTGTGACTGTTGTGCCTGTTTGTGTGTGACTGTCTGTGTGACTGCCTGCCTGTGTGTGTGTGACTGTCTGTGTGACTGCCTGTCCTGTGTGTGTGTGTGTGACTGTCTGTCTCTGTGTGTGTGTGTGTGTGTGTGTGACTGTCTCTGTGTGTGACTGCCTGCCTGTGTGTGACTGTCTGTGTGTGTGACTGTCTGTCTGTGTGACTGCCCATGTATGTGACTGCCTGTGTGTGTGACTGTCTGTCTGTGTGACTGTCTGTCTGTGTGACTGCCTGTGTGTGTGAGACTGTCTGTCTGTGTGACTGTCTGTGTGTGTGACTGTCTGTCTGTGTGTGTGACTGCCTGTGTGTGTGACTGCCTGTGTGACTGCCTGTATGTGACTGCCTGCCTGCCTGTGTGTGTCTGTCTGTAACTATCTGTCTGTGTGTGACTGCCTGCCTGTGTGTGTGACTTTCTATCTGTGTGACTGCCTGCCTGTGTGTGTATAACTGTCTATGTGTGTGTTACTGTGTGTCTGTCTGTGTGTGTGACTGCCTATGTGACTGTCTGTCTGTGTGTGTCGCTGTAGCTGTGCCATTGTTTGTGCCTGTGCCTGTATGTGTGACTGCCTTTAACTGAGTGTGTGTGTACATGCCTGTAACCGAGTTTAAATTTCCCCCACCCCTTCCTGTCAAGGCCGCACTTTGACTGACAGACGCTCACTCACTGACAGACGCACACTCACTGACAGACACACACTCTCATATACACTGACAAACAATGACATACACACATACACTATTACTTGGACACACACTGACAGATGCACACTCTCACTGACAGATGCACACTCTCACTGACAGACGCAAGCACTCACTGAAAGATGCACGACTCCACTGACCGACACATACACACTGACTGACACACACTCACTGACCGACACACACTCACTGACCACATACACACTCACTGACCTACACACTCACTGACTACACACTCACTGACGACACATACACACTCACTGACGACACATACACACTCACTGACTGACACATACACACTCACTGACTGACACATATACACTCACTGACCAACACACACATTCACTCACAGACACACACACATTCACTTACAGACACACACAATTCACTTACAGACACACACAATTACACACTTACAGACACACACACACACACACACACATTCACTTCAAAATAAACACTCACAGACACACACACAGACATTTCCACTAACACTCACAAACTAATATTTTTTACATTTATTTTAAATCCACCCAGCCTCCCTGGGAAAGCTGGAGTGGATTTCTTACCAGCAGTCCAGTGTGGCTGCTGGGCAGGCAGGCAGGGGGCGCACAGGCTGAGTAAGCAGCGCTTAGTGATGCCGGGAGCCGGACTGACGTCATATTCTGGCTCCCGGCTTCATTAAGCGGCGCAGAGGAAGCTGAGCAGGAAGAGCTCAGGTGAGTATGCTCCTTCGCTGCCCGCTGCCAGCCTTGGGGGGGCTCAAAAGTGGCCAGCCGGTCAGCTCTTGAGCCCCCCAGGATGCGAGGCAAGCAAGGGATCTGCCTGGGGTTTGGAGGGATGCTTTTTTTTGCCGCCCCCTGCAAAGTGGCGCCCAAGGCAGATGCCTTGTTTGCCTCGTGATACACACGTCCCCGGTGCCTGTGTGTGTTACTGTATTCAGGCAACTTGGTGGGAGGTGGGGGGGGGCGCCGTGAAGACTTTTTGCACAGGGCGCCTAATTGCCTAAGGCCGGCCCTGACCATATCCCGGGTCATAGACCTCAGGAACCTCATATGGAGATGGCGGCAGGGGGGGCTTCTGCCCATGCTACATCCCCTCTCCGTTATGGAGGTGATCCCAAAGGTTGTCGGGGTTTCCTCAATCAAATTAGTATTAACTTTGAACTTCATCCTAGGGCGTATCCTACCAATAGATCAAAGATTGGTTATATTATAACGTTGTTAGTCGATAGAGCACTAGTTTGGGCCAATCCATTGTGGGAAAACGACAATCCCATAGTTTTTAACTACGCAAAGTTTGTCGCAGCCTTTAGGAGAACATTTGATCCCCCTGGAAGACGTACTAATGCTGCTAAAACCCTCTTACGAATGAGACAAGGGTCTCGTTCCCTGGTTGACTATGCCCTGGAATTCCGCACTCATGCTGCAGAGGTCAGATGGAATGAGCAGGCCTTTGTAGATGTGTTCATGAATGGACTTTCTGAAAAGCTTTTAGACGAGGTAGCTACCTGAGACCTCCCTAATGTGTTAGAGGAATTGATTACATATCTAGCACATATAGACGAACGTCTCCGACATAGACAAAACACCAGGGATAGACCTAGGCGTGTGCCGGAAAGCCTGGCATTGACGTTCCCTTCGTCTGAGGAAACCACTGTCGCTCCAGCAGAACCTATGCAATTGGGAGCCACACGGTTGCCTGAACCTGAGAGACAATATAGACGAAGGGAGGGACTTTGTATGTATTGTGGGAAAAGAGGACATACCCGCCTACACTGCCCAAGCAGGCCGGAAAACTCCAACGCCTAAGCCCTCAAGGAGGACAGGCCTTGGGTGTAACGTGTATGTCCTCCTTCCAAGACAGGAAAGAACTCAGGCTTCTTCTACCGATAACCATAGAATGGGAGGGAAAGATAATAACTACCTCTGCGCTGATAGATTCTGGGGCAGTTGAGAACTTTATCGACCGTACTTTCGGCCAGCATCACAACCTCCCATTTCGAGAAAGATCAACACCCTTGGCCGTTGAGGCCATAGATGGTAGATCACTATCCATTCCTTTTATTACTCAAGAATCCAAACCCTTAGTCTTGACTGTAGGTTTGTTACATAAAGAAACCATAACCCTACAGCAAATACCTTCTCCCACCTTTCCGATTATACTTGGGTTTCCTTGGCTTACCAAGCATAATCCTCTAATTGACTGGGAGAGAAAAGAGATTGTGAAATGGGGTGACTCTTGTTTTAAGGAGTGTATCAGTCGAGTTAAACCTATAGGACTCCTCAACGTTCCTACCATGGAACCATTAACCACTCGAGTACCCGAACCATATCAGGATCTCAAGGCAGTCTTTGAACCAAGGGAAGCAAACAAATTACCACCCCATCGTTCTTACGACTGCGCTATTAATTTGTTACCCGGTACTATGCCCCCTAGGGGTACCGTGTATCCCCTCTCTGTGACAGAAAACAAAGTACTTGAAGAGTACATCACAGAGAATTTGAAGAAGGGTTTTATTACCAAGTCATCCTCCCCGGCTGGTGCAGGGTTTTTCTTTGTTTCCAAAAAGGAAGGTGACTTGAGACCATGCATCGACTATCGGGGATTAAATAAAATAACAGTACGAAACGCATATCCAATTCCGCTCATTACTGAGCTTTTTGATAGGTTGAAGGGAGCAACCGTATTCACTAAACTAGATTTACGGGGAGTTTATAATCTAGTTCGAATTAAGAAGGGACATGAGTGGAAAACGGCTTTCAATACTCGCTATGGCCATTATCAATATAGGGTTATGCCCTTCGGCTTATGCAACGCCCCGGTAGTCTTTCAAGATTTCATAAACGATGTATTAAGGGACTATCTACAAACGTTTGTTGTTGTCTATTTAGACGACATACTCGTCTACTCTAAGAATATCAAGGAGCACCATAGACACGTTAGGATAGTTCTATCTAAATTATTGAAAAACAGACTCTACTGTAAACTAGAAAAATGTTTGTTTGACGTGGAGAAGGTTAATTTCTTGGGTTACATAATTTCAGGTTCAGGCTTTCAAATGGAATCTAAAAAACTGGAAGCAATTTTAAATTGGCCCATACCCATTGGACTTAAAGCCATCCAACGTTTCCTGGGGTTCGCTAATTACTATAGAAAGTTTATCAGAGGATTTTCCTCTATTACCGCTCCTATTACCGCTATGACAAAGAAGAATAGAAGTCATATGGTGTGGAGTACCGAAGCTAAGGAAGCCTTTGAAAAATTGAAGCTAGCCTTTTCTTCAGCCCCGGTGTTAAGTCACCCTAATCCTTTGCGTCCTTTTTTGTTAGAAGTGGATGCTTCAGAGACAGGGATAGGGGCTGTACTCTCTCAGAGATCCTCGAATGATCAACCCCTGCATCCCTGTGGCTATTTCTCTAAAAAACTGACGAAAACAGAACAAAGATATGATATAGGAGATATGGAATTGTTGGCTATCATTTGAGCGCTCAAAGAATGGCGGCATCTATTAGAGGGGTCATCTGAACCGATCATCATCCTCACTGATCACAAGAATCTTTCCTATTTTGGAGAGGCAAAAAGAATGTCTGACAGGCAGATTTTTTGGTCTTTGTTCCTAACACGTTTTAACTACATAGTGACGTACAGACCCGGTTCTAAGAATACGAAAGCAGATGCCTTATCTCGACAACATGAGCACCTATCTCCTCCAGTAACCCATTTATCTTCCATAATCCCTACTTCACAAATAGTCGCCACAGTCCATACTAAAATCTCTTCTAGCTTAATGGAAGTATTGTCCAAATGCCAAGACCACAACTCCATAACTATCCCTCAGGGGAAATTACACGTACCTTTAAATTATAGGAGACGGATCCTATCCTTGGTACACGACTCTAAGATTGCCGGTCATCCCGGTATCCATAAGACAGAAGCACTACTCGAAAAGCAATTCTGGTGGCCCTCTTACAAGAAGGATGCCCGAGAATATGTCCTAGCCTGTAACATCTGTTCCTCTAATAAATCTCCTAGAAGTCGCCCTTTAGGCCTCCTCATGCCGTTGCCTATTCCCGAAATGCCATGGTCGAGTATCGCCATGGATTTCGTAGTAGACCTGCCACCTTCAAAAAATCACCGGGTAATCCTAACTATCATCGATAGATTTTCCAAAATGGCCCACCTAGTCCCTTTAATTAAACTTCCTTCATCCTCCGAACTGGCCACGATATTTATAAGAGAGGTGGTTCGTTTACACGGTATCCCTACAGATATAGTCTCTGACAGAGGCTCACAGTTTATTTCCAGGTTTTGGAAAGCGTTTTGTGATCAGTTGGGTATCAAACTTAATCACTCCTCTTCATACCATCCCCAATCCAACGGAGTTACAGAGAGAATTAATCAATCACTAGAACAGTACATTCGCTGCTTCACCTCCGATCACCAAGATGATTGGATGGAGTTACTCCCTTGAGCTGAATTCGCCCACAATAACTGGGTTCACGAGTCGACACAACATAGCCCCTTTTTTATAAATTATGGCTTTGACCCTATTACTCTTCCAAGTTCTGTTTCATCCTTGGCAGTGCCAAGCGCAAAAATGCTCCGAATTTTATAGTAGGGGATAGAGTGTGGTTGAGTACACGCAATATTAAATTACGAGTTCCCTCTATGAAATTCGCTCCGCGATTCATTGGTCCTTTTAGGATCCTCCAACGGATTAATCCAGTCTGTTATCGCCTGGACTTACCGGCTAATATGAGGATACCCAATTCCTTTCATGTTTCTCTTCTGAAACCTTTGATTTGTAATCGCTTTACTCGGAAACCCAGGACTCCTCTTTCTACACTCATTGATGGCCAAGACGAGTACGAGGTTAAATCTATTTTAGACTCTCGTGTCTCTAGAGGTCGGCTCCAGTATCTATTGGATTGGAAGGGATACGGCCCCGAGGAAAGGACATGGGTGGATGCCTCGGACGTGCACGCGCCTCGCCTAGTCCGTTCCTTTGCTAGGCGTCGTTCTCCCTGGGGGCGGTCCTCGAGGGGGGGGTACTGTGACGATACCTTACCTGTGTCCGCCGATCCCGCGCAGCACGGCGGTTCCCCCGGCTGCTTCTGGGAGGCGGTGCAGCCTGTCAGACGCTGCCCGCTTGCGGCGAAATCAGTTTTATGACGCGGCGCATGCGCGCCGACGTCATGATAATTTTGCCGCGAAAATTCAAACGCGGTCACGCTCCCGGACCTTTTGGGGGCGTGGCTTTAAAGTGACACACACATCAGTATAAAAGGGCATCCCTGTCCACCCCTCAGTGCCCTAGTGTGGTTCTTGATTGTTCTTCTGGTGCTCTTATACTTAGTTATCTGTTTTTCTGGTATTTTGACCCTTGGCTTCCGTACTGACTATTCTCCTATCTGGCTCCCCGACTTTTGGCTTGGCTTTCTCGTTTATCACGATTTCCGTACTCCCTTGATCCTTGACTTTTCTTTTGACTATTCTCTGACGTTAAGTCTGGCCACACTAAGGTCCGGTATACGTCCATTTCTGGGTTACCATCTGTGTGAAGAGGTCACTGTCGTGACAACAACCCTTAAATTAACCCCTTAAGAACCAATACTCATTTGAGATGTGAAACATTTGTGACCAAGACCTTTCTGGTATTTTTGTCATGTGTTCATTCTACTATAACTTTTATATTAGTCATAGAATCCAAAACTGTTATACAAAAGTATACGTTTGTATAAAATACAGCCACCAGGCTATTAAAGGGCCACTATAGTGCCAGGAAAACATACTCGTTTTCCTGGCACTATAGTGCCCTGAGGGTGCCCCCACCTTTAGGGACCCCCTCCCGCCTGGCTCTGGGGAGAGGAAAGGGTTAAATCTTACCTTTTTTCCAGCGCCGGGCAAGGAGCTCTCCTCCTCCTCTCCACCTCCTCTCCTCCCTTTCGGCTAAATGCGCATGCGCGGCAGGAGCTGCGCGCGCATTCAGCCGGTCTCATAGGAAAGCATTTCCAATGCTTTCCTATGGACGCTTGCGTGTTCTCACTGTGATTTTCACAGTGAGAAGCACGCAAGCGCCTCTAGCGGCTGTCAATGAGACAGCCACTAGAGGATTTGGAGGCTGGATTAACCCATTTATAAACATAGCAGTTTCTCTGAAACTGCTATGTTTATAAAAAAAAAAAGGGGTTAATCCTACAGGGACCTGGCACCCAGACCACTTCATTAAGCTGAAGTGGTCTGGGTGCCTAGAGTGGTCCTTTAACTATGAGCAGTTTGACACTTTTCATTTAACTATTTTATCACTAAGCTCATGCATTTTATTTTGGGGAATTCAAACCATGCGTGACCCCTGCTGCAAACAACCCATACTTGTATTCTTCTACTGTACTATAGTCTAGTTATACCCCACATGTATAATTATTTTGTAATCCTACCCACTATCCTACCACAAATCTAACCCATAATCCCACCCAAAATCCAACTCCTATTCCTACCTCAGAGGGATTCCTTTTGCTGACATCAGAAGAGGGATTTCTCAGCTCACATAATACAGAGCTCTCTGTGAGCACTTTGTACTGTGTGATTGCAGCATGAGAGGATGATCTCCCTCTCCTACTGTAGCTCCTGAATTTGTGATCAGTGCTGGGCAGCTGGCAAGCCTAGCACCAACAATTGGCAGAGGGATACCAGGGGGTCACCCTGGGGGTCTCCCTCATTACGGGGAATACTCAGATTTACAGTGACTCTCATAGCGCTGCACATTGCTCATCTGTTTGTCTGGGGTCACTAATCGTGGCCTCAGATTACAGAGATGATACTCAGGTATCTAAATATACCTGAAGCTCCCTGATTTTACCAGTTGCCATGCTGGGCACAGCTTCAGAATTACTGCGGCAGAGTGTGATCACTCAGACTCACTATTTAAATGCAGTGCTCACTTTGAGTGCTGCACATAGCTCATCTGTCAGTCTGGGGCCACTAACTTGGGAAATGCCTACATTTTAAACTTTAAGATATAAATGACAGAAGATTTTGCCAATGCAATTTTAAATCAAAGTATTTTTCAGACATAATTAATTAGTACCTTGGATGGTTGTAGAGTGCATGCCAAATTCTTAAATCCCAGATCAATTAGATATTGAGCAATCTTCCCTAGGTCTTCCTTCTGCAGCATTTCCTTATAATTGGTCATAATGACTTGTATTTTCTTCATTATTTCCACAGCAATATTTGTATCTCTTTCCTCTCCAGCTACATTTATAAAAGAAAATAAGGATTTCTACATGAGATTTTAGATAAAAAAACTGATCATATGTACAAAGCAATGGATGAAAACAATTAGGGTTGTACTCTCTCTCTCTTTATCTGTCTTTAAACCATAACACTGGCCTAATTTAACAATCAATAATGATAATAATAATTGGACAACATTTAACTGGAATGTAAATAGATTTCTGGACTAAAGAGAGAATTATTAGAATCTAGTTAGCGATGTGGTTACGATTGTGAGAAACAGAGAAAACAGGGAACATAAAAACTGTGTTTGATCTATAACGATAGCAACAACACACGTACTGTCCAGTCTGCCAAATTCACTTTGTATATATAATGAATGATGTTGCTATTCAAACACCTCTCATTTACCAACATGTCCATAAGTATTTAAAGGATCACTATAGTGTCAGGAAAACAAAGCGGGTTAAAACACCTTCATGCTACTTACCTTAATCCAGCACCGAGCTCCCTCGGCGCTGGTGATCTCTCCTCCCTCGCCCACATCAGCTCCCCGTCTGATGTCAGCGGATCCGAATGTGCATGTGCGTCAGTGCCGCACGTGCATTCAAAGTGTCCATAGGAAAGCATTTCTCAATGCTTTCCTATGGACGCTCTGCGTAATGGGGCATAATATGCCTCCAGCGTCGCAGATGCGCCTCTAGTGGCTGTCCGGAAGAGAGCCACTAGAGGCTGGCTTAACCCCAAATGTAAGGGTTAAAACCTGAGGGACCTGGCACCCAGACCACTTCATTGAGCTGAAGTGGTCTGGGTGACTATAGTGTCCCTTTAATGTTTAGCTTCTTCTGTACATGTATGCACAGTAAGCTCTGATGGAAGCTTTTTTTTTACCATTGTATTAATTTGCTAACCTCCTTTAAGAGCCAACATGTGACATTTAACTTTACATGCAATCCAGGGCCAGTTTGGGGGAGGTTTTTTATGTTGCAGAAAGTTCAGAGGTTAAGTGTAGTTGATGGGTTAGGAGCCTAATATTAATAAAGAAAACTTTTGTATTTGCACTTTGTGGAGTTTATTGTGTATTCTCACCTCAATCTTTTGGTACCTAGTTATATATATTTAATTGTATTTTTTTTTTATTTTTTTGCACATTACCTTTCCTACTACTAATGCATGCATATATTATCATAATATCTCTACTTCTAGTGTGTGCACGTGCATACTCCTCCATCTAATGTATGCACAATGTTCAAATCTCCATTGAATGTATCCCCTTTGCTGTGGACTCTGTGTGATGCACATGTGACGCTTGTGTGTTAGTTCTTTTTCATGCTATGCTTTATAGGGAGGCTCATGTTAAAGACCATGCCTGCAGATGATAAATGGTGTGATGTTTAGCTGGAAGAAAATACTTACTTTTTATTTTGCAGTGTTCATGCCACACCTCAACACAGGTTTTTAATGTTGCTAATTCTGAACAAAACTTCACAGATTGTGTTCCCAAAGAATGAACAAATTGTTCCTGCTTTTGTATCCCGGAGAAAAAATCTGTCTGGATGTCTTTTTTAAGAACAATAGCCATCGACCTCCACTGCTCTAATTCCTTGTTTTCTTCTCTGGCCTTATTTTTTTTCTGATTCTCTTGTATAATTTGATCTTTTTTCTTCATCTGTGAATATATCCAAATCAGATTACTTCAATAATTTTCATTAATTTGAACACAATATTTTTTACATGTTTGCATACAGACACATACACAAAATAATACACTAAACACAGTATTTGGTATGTGAAAAATGACAGAACCAGCACCAGTGTCTGGTTTAAAATCAGTGCTTTTCAAATCCCAGCCGTATGATATATTCTATAAAGTATAGGATCCAATCACTGATTTAAAAAAAAAATTGTTCTTCACAAGTGTATAATAAGTAAGGAATAATTGACAACAGGCCGTTGAATTATTATAAAAATAATGCACACCCGAGGTGGTAATGCGGTTACGGTGCGAAGGGGAGTGGCCATTACACCTCGGGTGTGCATTATATTTTCTAATAATTCAACGGCCTGGAGTCAATTATTCCGCTTATTTTTTGTCAAATTTTTGTCATTAAAACGCTCTTGTATGTAGGACTAATTTCTTATGCAACTATAATGCGGTTAAGACCTGTCTGGAACTACTTTAGCCGTGCATCTCCCTGAAAATTATGCACACCTTAAAACGTTCGTCAACCGATCAGACTGAAGCATTCAACGGCCCTGTAGTATAATCTGAAGTATTATTTAAAGTACTATTTGTCTACAGGTAGTAATTAAAAGTGGACACACCCATAACGTGTGGAGCCAGTAATGCTATCACACTTCTCAGGATGCAAGTGTTGGTGGGTAGGGGGTAAAAACCTCCAAAATGCCCCCACCTGACTTGCAACAGGACAACTGTCACCTCAAAACTATTTTTAATATAATAGCCATTTCATCAAGCTTTGAAAAAAGCAAAACAATGCATACAAACAATAATAGATGATTTTCTGGACCTCATAAGAATTCATTATTATTGCTATCATCATTGGTTACTGATATATTGTAACAAAAAAAAACATACAAAAATAGTATCCAGTGTCAAAAAATGCTGTCCCTTCTCATCCTGGACCCAAGTCAGGGATCCAGCTCCCAGTGAGAAGACCTCTCCTCCAAGAGATTATAGCAGTGTAGCTCTTACAAGAGCTAGTGATTATAGCTGGTATAGACTTCCCCTACAATAACGAGACGAGGCTCTGTGTTGAGGGTAAACTGGAACTTCTTTATTGGCAGCCACCACTGGCCTTATATGTAGGTCCTCATGCAAGGGGCACTCCCCTCTGAACCTGAGAGTAGACTACAGTAAAAATATACATACAATTACATTGGCTCTCAGGTCCAGGACACTCCTACATAAAACAAGATAATTCCTCCTCTGTGCTTGGGAGATAATTGAGTCAGGGACTGTACTACTCAATTATCTCCAGGTACAGAAAACATATATTTTTACAAAAATACCTTTAAACACACAAACTCCGCACAAAATTTACATCCCCTGATAGCCTGAATCTGGGTGACCAACATATCCAAAATTACCCAGATCGGTTCAGGGGTTCAGGAATTTCCTGGAAGTCATAATTTGACCGACTGCACGCATGGTCCCATGCCCAAAACAGTTCCAGAGAATCAGGGCTTGCGGTCGGTCTAGTTCGGTAGTTTAAAAACCGAACAAACTACGAACATAGTCAATGTTCTTACCCTGGAGCTTGTTCACCTTGTTTGTGGGAACAATTGCACCGAACAGTGCTCTTCTAAGTGGCGATTCTGGAAGTCTGGGAGTTTCAGTGTCCGAAAACAGTTCCATGTACCCGACGACCAAACACCACTGCATGCGTTCATGGGAACAAGATGGCCACTCCCTAGTGGTCGTTCATGCGAACAGCGGCCACCCATACAGACAATTAGAACACTACAGTTAGAATTGTTCCAAGGTGTTAATAGGGCTTAACAAGCTCCCGGGTGGTTTCTGGTTCATGCGGCTGTTCGGTTCCAGAACAAAATACAAGATCCCACAAACTAAGTTTGTTCTTATATTTTTAAAGGGCCCATGGTCGTTTAGCAGGAGGCTGGCAAGCAGGCCCCTCCAAGAACACGAGGCAGAGGCATTTCTGCCACAACATTAGTTCGGAATATCCATGGAGATGATTTGGCAGAGTATGCTTGATTGTGAACTGACTTAGTTAAACTAAAATATACCAATATTATTTATAAATGCTCGTAATTAGGAACTGTGTACACTAAAATTGGCAGTTGAGGTTTACACTTGCTACTGTTGCCGTACAGCTTTTGTTTATTGGAACCTGAGTAATATACAGAAATAAATAGTATAAAAATATGCATTCTCAGAAAATGATGGATAAACATCTTAATTATTAGTACAGTATTTTATTATGTGAAGAATGAGCTAAAATCAGGCCACACTCACAACACTCCTCGCCCCATGTGTAACAATAAACCTGCTGAAACTTCTGAAGGAACAATAAAAGACCATAAATAAGTAAACAATGAAGTACTGGAAAACATCTGAGTGGTTTGTTGTCACATACACAGTTGTACCCAATAAATTTACGTGAGCTCCTGAAGTTACTTGAAGAGGTGACTTTGTTATGGAGTCGTGAAATAACTCTGCTTTACAATAAAATCAATTATTCAGCATTAATCACCAACTGTAACAATAATTGTAACATGGACGGCCTGAGATTGCGAAGGACATTTCCTCTAGCTTTCAGTTTAATTCATTGCTTTCTCATTAAAAATAATGAGAAGTATATGTCTGCTGCTTTGCTCCACTAATAGATCAGACTATTAGCGTGGATGACAGTGTGAGGCACAATGCCTACCTACCAGTCAGTTTTAAAATGGATGGTATCAAATGGAAATGTGTGTTCATATTAAAAGCTAAATTAAGTTACTTACTGGCGTTTCTTTTTTCTTCCCGAAAGATTGTTTTACATTATTTGTCTTCTCCGACTCACCATGCTGCACAACAATTTTCGTAGGAGTGGTCAAACCTAAAGATGTTCCATAAAGACGCAGATGGTTTTGGAGCTTTTGATAATTTTTCAGCCCCCACTTGTCTTTAATTTCTGAGTAAAACAAAACAAAAAAAAAATGTTGCCTATCAATATTTAGTATTCATTTTCTGTAATTTAAATACAACAAAGACACACCATTGAGAAAACAAAGTAGTACATAGGGATCTAAACAATAAAGAACTTTTTCCAGCCAGAATCACAGTAATTATAGGAGTAAGCATATAGGGGGAAAAAATGGTACGGTCATCTGGTCAACATTGAAGTACTCAAACACCAATGCAGCAACTCAAATTTGTGGGAACTGGCAAGGATTCAAAGGGGTGAGAGATCGGATGAATGAGAGGCAAACATAAAGTGTGTAAGGCATGGAAAGAGGACAAAGGAGAGGAGGGAGATAGGGACAAAAAGGGAGGAGGGAAGAAACGTGTTCAGGTGAAGAAGACGACGATTAAAGGGTGAGATGACACCAACAGGTCAGTTCCAAGCCCAAATTCACAAATCACAAATGTTTTGCATGCGTAATTAAATCTGGAAACATAATCCAGCCATTGCCCCAACATAGAGTGAAAACAATCAACCTTGTCATATAAGCCAGCTGGCAGTGCTTTGATTTGTCTGATCTCCTTGATCTTAGCTATCCATGGGTGGAGCATTAGGGGGGGTCTACCATTTCCAGAGCACATGAATTAGGGCTTTAACTAAACATCTCCTAATGGCAGCTAATGACAAATTGAATGTTAAAAAAAAAAAAGCAATAAGAGTTACATTTTAGTTGTGAACCAGAGTACCCAACCACTCTTTCCTCTGTAATGGTGTAAAATGTGAGTTGAAAAAAGCCCAATATTGGGTTACATTACTTATACATTCTGGTTGATTGCCTCCTTTTTTCATTTAAGATTGTCTACAAATGTTGTAAATCTCAAGGATATGCATCTTTTTCTGTCATATAAGATAATCTTTCTGCAATCATTTAACAATGATTAATTGTAAATACAATGTGCACATAAAAAACATACATACATACATATATTTATATAAAGTAACTGCAGCACTCCAACTAGGACTGATTGAAATAAAATCTCCACATTTCTGCTTATAATTACATACTTTAAGTACAATTATATCATGTTTTGTTACCAGCTTGTGTGTCTTTTGTCCTATCATAGTCATCGCTTAGGAGTTTTCCAGAATGCCAGTGTAAGAGTTCATCATATGGTTTTTCTTCATTTAGTGCAAGTACCACTGGATCATCGCTTAAAAGATCATGAAAAAGAGGTCAACATTTGATAACAGCTAATGCAATCAATTGAGTGTTAAGTACTGCTAAACTGCTGTCATCTCTGAATGTCAGAATGCTGATATATATCTAGGTCAATCTTTTGAGGTTAGTAAAAGATCCTAAGCATCTTCAGGCATAGCACAGGTGTAGTGACATAAATTAGTTACAAGCATATAAACATATAAGCATATGGCAGAAGAAGAGGAGGAGCAGCATAAGGCAACAAGAATGCTTTTGCTACTTGTTTTAGCATAACTATGTCTGTACATCTAGTAAAATTAAAAGGCCTTCTTGTTGCAGGGGTGGATGTGGGTTTGGGCGTAAGGAAGAGAGATAAGACAGATAAGGAGGAATGGAGCAGGCTAGCCATTTGTTATACACAATTAAATATTTCTTAAAATATATTATAACCATTCTTCAGCAATGTTCAAATCTATGTTTCCTTCTCTCTTGAAATTTAACTGTTCTGTTTCTTTTATTAATTAATTTTATGCATAACTGAATGAATAGTGGCAGTCAAAAGAACCTAGTAACTGCTGGGGTAAGAGCATGGTAAGAGTCTTCTCGATCCATTATCTTTAGTAGTTTGGTTTAGTTCATCTGACCCATAACTATTGTATGGAAAGCCCACCCAATACTTTCTCAAAATATTCTTGTTTTAGGTATTTTTATGCACAGATCTATTGCATGACAATTTCCCTAAGAGATAGTTAGTGTACCAACGCATTCCACACATCTCTATTGCTGCTGCTGATCCAACAGAAGGTGAAAACGAGGTGGTGAAAAGCCTAATTAGAAGTGGTTTCCAAATGCTTGATTCTAAAAGTGCAGTCAGATTTCTACTTGGATCAGAAAGTTGTTACTCCACATTGTAGTTTGTTTCAGTTTTCCAGGCCCATATTAACCACAAATTACATTGGATAAAACATTTAAATTTCACATTATATTTCTCTTCCTTTATCTCTTTCATCGAACAAAAATGGATGGAAATTTGCTCATTTGAAATAGGAATTTTGTACTTATTCCATTACCACCTATTAATTTAAACCACAAATATAGTGCAGTATTTTAAAGGCTCTAAAATAGGATTTCACTTACCTGCTTAAATATTGTAGGCCTTTCATAATGTCTCCGGCAAATGTTTCAATTAGAGCACAACGCATGGGTATGAGACCAGCATTTGGCATTTTCTTCGTTTTTACTTGAGAATAATAAAAACCATGTTTAACAATACAATAAAAATAAATCATTCAGGGTCATTTACTAAATTGCAAGGCACAAGGGTTTAATAGGATCTTGATAGTGTCTTAAAAATAAATAGTTACAAAATAAAAACTGCTGCACAGGTCTAATTCTGCACTGTGCTCTTAATTTTTCAAACTAAAAACAAAATCTGTATTTTCAAGAAATCAACGGACATATTTTATAGGTAATTACCCATCAATGATGAATCGTTTGAAAGAAAAGGTGTTGATGTGGTTCGGATTTGAGAAGATTCCAGTTCTTTTCCCCATGGACTTAACTGCAACGTTGTATTCCAAAGAAATGTATACATCTCACCAATTGTACTTCCAAAATCAAATTTCAGATCTAAAACATTTTAAATTGAACAAAAACTAAGTTCAGATGATAGCAGTGACAAATAGCAACATCTATTCAGTTCCACCAAATAATCATCCACCACATGATAAAATCACCTTTCAAGGATAAATAGAGGCTATCTTGGCTTCTTAAATATTATTTTTTATTTTATATTAGTCATCTAAGGTAGCAGCAAAGAAGAAAGAACAGAAAAGCAGCTCTGTAACCCCCCTCCTCACCCTCCCCACAATTTAAAAAAAAAAAGTGAGCATTTAATAAGATAAAAACTTTCTGAAATAGTCACAACAGCTGTGTTGGATTTTCCTTCAAACTGTAATGCATAAGTATCATGAGATAAAGCAGAGACTACTTATGGTAAAAGCCTAACTAAGTTGTATCAGTTTCCACAGCCGTTGCTATAAACGTCTGTAGGAATCGGCATTGTCTCACTCATTGTGACAATATCTAAGGCGCATTCTCTGACTTATGGGATCCTCATTAGACAAGGGTGTTGTACTCTTACACACGTGAATGGGGTTCTGGTGGATGAAGTACAAGGAGGTAAAGACCAAATATAGAGGTGCCTGTGGGATACTGAATTAGGGAAACATAACTAACCTCTACTGCACCCTAGATCCACCGCACCTCAGTGGCAAAGTAACCATTGGGGTCTACAAAAGAACCCAGAAGGTGTAAGAGACACTTTAAATACTCTCTATGGCATATTCTATCTTTGACTGCAGGGGAAGCATAAATTATACCTCTATCAACATATTTAGTTATCCATGATGCAAAAAGATATGTACATATAAAATAGACATGGTCCATTTGTTTAAAAATTGAAAATCTAGGAATTACACCATTACACAGAATTTTATTGGTTATATATAGCTTTCATAATATATATGTAACAAAATGTTCATCTCTCCTTTATTCCTCAAAATGTCAAAAATACATTCTGCCATGAACCAAAAACTAATTTAAGGAAGTGTAAATAAAAAAAGTAAAGAAAAACACAGAAAATCAGATGTATATTGGTGCTAGCAAGAGTAGAATATGTTAATAATGCTATTTCCAGTTGCGGATCAATGCAATTCACACAAAAAAAAAAAAACAAGAAAAATGCTATGGAATAAAAATATGTGGATTAGCCATGTATAGTACCTAGGTACCACTAGAATATATTCAAAGTTTTAGTTTAAACAAGAAGCTCAGCGAATGTAGCTTAACAGTTAAATGTTTATTTATTTCTGTTTCTGATGCGGCTATCTTATAACATATAGTATAAATGTATAAAATATAATATCCATACCTGTAAATGTTTCTTTTTCGTAATAATATGCTACATTCTTCAACAAGAGGTCATCATTCAAATCAGAAACATTTGTCCAATCTATTTTGCAGTTTAAGCTTTGTGACATGCTATTTACCAGTTTTAGCGCAGTATTTTCACAACTTTTTCTCTGAATAAATTGAAAAATGGAGAGTACTGAAAGCCCACATTGATATATTTGATATATCTATTTTCCAATACAGTTTATTTTCATTTATTCAATTAATGTATGATATGCATTATACAATTTACAGAAAACAAAATGAAGTATTCATCTTCTTGATGTAATCATCACCATCATCATTTGAATTTAGTTAAAAAATTTAATTTTTATTGCCTCTACTCTTCCATCTTTTCCTATGTTTCCAATGTTTTATTTCAATTCCCATTCCCATTTTCTAGCACAACAGATTATAGGAAAAGCATTCTTGAGCATTTATGAGAAGATCTGTTAAGGATCTTGTGTTCTCATGGGGCCTACCATAGACCCCACGAGAATATGAAGATGGACCAACTGCGGGTAACTTCCTCTACAAAGAGTTTAGATGAAAATTGTGATAAGTTTTTTTATAAGTATACTTATTGCATACTGTCCCTGAGCCATTGGGATGCCACCGTACACATATTGACACCATGTATTAATCTGACATCCTTTCAGATGTGTACTATGTGTACTCTTATAGTTCCCTTGACTTATAGTTCCCTTGGCGCTACAGTGTTTTGCATCATATTGCTGACATTTGGTTGAGCACCTTTTAGCATTGTATATGATGATAACCAATAGCACTTATCTTAGAGCTACTTAAGACGACACCACATTCTCGTCACTACCCTATCATGTTACTCAGAGGTGCATTTCATTGTAGTGTGTATTTTTTCGGTTTTGACTCGGCTCCATTTATTTGACTATTTTGACTTCTGTAATCCTAAACCTTGCCTTTTTTCTCTCTCTTCCATATTTCTGTACCTCATGACCTTGATGTATCTCTGTTTATGCTTATGACTATTTATACATTGTGCCCTATACTTTCATACATTAAAGGACCACTCTAGGCACCCAGACCACTTTAGCTTAATGAAGTGGTCTGGGTGCCAGGTCCTTCTAGGGTTAACCCATTTTTTTATAAACATAGCAGTTTCAGAGAAACTGCTATGTTTATGAATGGGTTAATCCTTCCCCCTAATCCTCTAGTGGCTGTCTCGTTGACAGCCACTAGAGGCGCTTGCGTGCTTCTCACTGTGATTTTCACAGTGAGAGCACGCAAGCGTCCATAGGAAAGCATTGTAAATGCTTTCCTATGCGACGGGCTGAATGCGCGCGCAGCTCTTGCCGCGCGTGCGCATTCAGCCCAGGAGGAGGAACGGAGGAAGATCGGAGGCAGAGAGCTCCCTGCCCGGCGCTGGAAAAAGATAAGTTTTAACCCCTTCCAGAGCTGGGCGGGAGTGGGACCCTGAGGGTGGGGGCACCGTCAGGGCACTATAGTGCCAGGAAAACGAGTATGTTTTCCTGGCACTATAGTGGTCCTTTAAGCCCAGTAATTCCAAGGACCAGTAATGCGTTTCTTTCCTTTAGTACTTGTCTGCTGTTAAATCTGTATTGTATCATTTATTTCCTAAGACGAAGGACCAAAAAGTATAAGTCATTTTTCATAATTTTTTTCACACTACAGTTTGATTCCTTTTGTATATTGCATACCTTTTCCTTAAAGGGTTACTCTAAGCACCATGATCACTTCACTGTGGTCTGTCTGTGCAGAGTTTTGCTTTGAAATGTTACAAATATAGAGATAAACCCCTTAACTGCCTGAGGTGAACTCCAGCTTCCAGGCTGGCTAAAATCAATTCCAAATAAAAGGGAGCTTTAGGTGCAACATAAATGTCTATATCACTGTTGTGTATATATATTTGCAGTGTTTTGTTATTTTTACTTCATGTGGCGTATTGTAATGCTATTATATCAAATAAAATTTCTTTATTTTATTTTTTTAAATTTGAATGGGAAAATTGCTTGATGGTTTGGGGACAGACACTAAATGTTAATTTTAATCACAAATCAAGTGAGACGTGACCAATACAGGGAACACAAATTAGGACCAGTAAGCAAATCTATTTTTATATTTTATATATTCAATAAATACATTTTAAAAAAAATATATGATATATGTTTTTCCCCCTCTACTGGTTATTCCTTCTCATAAAACAGTGCACAGTGTGGTACAAATCACCAACAGTGTATATAGGCTTTAAAAACTAGGCATGTTTGATTACAAACTTAATACACCATAGTAATATATTAAAAATAAAAAAAACTTACCAAATCCGTAAATAATGATGCATTATCATTCCAGTCAGCTTTAATATTCCTCATTTGTGATCTTTGAGAAAGAGGCACACACAGCAAAATGGCCACAGTGAGACAATGCATTCTACATAGATCAGCAACGTCATTCATTGTCAGGGAGATTCTGCCATCCTTCAAGAAATGAATAACAAGCAGTCAGTATTTATTAACATAATTCTGTGTGGTTGCTGTCCCAGTCATAATATGAAATTGAATAGGTTTTGTAAGGCGGCAGTTTGTGCTCCATTATTGAACATAAGAAATTGACAGAATACAAGGAGGATCCTCAGCAAGATATAAGTCAGTGAAATACCAAAGGCAGTATGTGAGATAGAAAGGCCTATCACGAGACCTTTGGGTGGCTGGGTTTAACGCTTGGGACAAAAATTAGGAGTATCAGAATTAAATATAAAATAATTAAGGCCAGGAGAAGACTCGCTAGAAATAGTAAGGATGGCCTATAATAGAGGAAAAGCTAAACTCAGGGCCAAGAATGTAGTCGGATCTGATACACTGGCACATGTGGTCAGGAATGGTAAATCAGGAACTGCAGTATGATGCACTCAAGGGCTTTAAGACACCTCAAAGGGGCACTGGTCCAAAGATCACAGGAATTTATATATAGGTCCTTATATCATTGGTGCACGTGTATTAAGCCAGGAGAGATGCAATATCAAAAAAAGAGATAGAATGCTCAAATATTGCAGCTTGCATCATTTTAGATAAGTTGGAGTCAGGATGGTGTGACCATGACCTATGTCAAAATTTTACCGTATTTTCAATACTACTGTGATTGTGGCTGAATCTACATGCTGCATCAAAACTGGAACTAGTACCTTGGGAGGTATAGGTGTCTAATTATATGGGTTTTTATTTTATTTTATTATTTTGTGTATAACCTACAAGCAAATAGCAAATTCTAGACCACATTTTTGTTTTATTTTTCAATTCTGTCATGTATCTAACGTCACTACATTTCGAAATGTGTATTTCGATTAGTCCATTAGGCCCTAAATTTACTACAAAAATTAAGGTTTTTTTCATATATTATAAGTTGTCTGACATGTCCTGCTGTAGTTAATAAAAAGTGATAGTCATTTTTTTTAGCCAAAGGGTAGGATTTTCAAAATGATACAGAAAAATTACATAGCAAATCGTTGACAAAAAGCCCAAAAGAAAATATAAGATCACTTATTTTCAAATTTTGAACCTTAGGCAAAATATTTGACAAGTCAATTTTAACAGAACAATTACATGTAGATACTTTAAGTGTAAACAAAGATTTGCCATTATAAGAATATGTTTGAAATGCTTAGATATATTATAGACAAACCTGTAAAGGAAAACTTTCTCCATTCTCAGAAAACAATTTCAAGACCAAGGAGCAGGAAACAACAGTGATTATAGTCCTTATGTTTGATCCTTCTTTTAAAATCGTAAATAGGTTGGTAATAATATCTTGTACCTAAACAAAACATACAAAGTTAATAAATGAGCTCGTATTTTACAAGAAATGTATATAAGCAAAACAGATATGACTGTAAGGTATTGACAATATATGAGAAATCCAGTAGTTGTGGTCTAAGTAAGGAAGCATCCCTGGAGGTTTAGAGGTATAGTTGGGAGTCAAATATCAAAATAAAGTTAGGTGAACTAAGCTTTCAAGCAAAGTATTCTCTAATAACAGAGATTTATTCACTAAACATCAAAGTGTAGCCAATTAAAGGATCCCTCTAGTCACCTAGACCACTTCATCCCAATGAAGTGGCCTGGGTGCAGTGGTCCTGTATTTTTAGAACTACAATGTAAGATACCCTACCTATCTTCCCTAATGCACAAGTATGTCCCGTCTAGGCCCTTACGCTCTGCTGAAGACTTACATCTATCTTCTGTCCATACTCCCATCTCTAATGATCGCCTGCAAGACTTCTCGAGGGATGCACTGTTCCTGTGGAATTCCCTTCCCTCACCCAGTCTCCACTCCTTCAAAAAATCATTTAAACCCCCACTTCTTCATAAAAGCGTATCAATTAGCTCCCGACTGATTCCTCTCTTGCAACTATCATTAGTCCAATACTATCCTTACCTTTTGTGTCACTTTACCCCATTCCCTCTAGCATGTAAGCTCACTGAGCAGGGCCCTCAACCCCTCTGTTCCTGTGTGTCCAACTTGTCTGGTTACAACTACATGTTTGTTCGTCCACCCACTGTAAAGAGCTGTGGAATTTGTTGGCACTATATAAATAATAACATCATCATCATAATAATAATAATAATATTGCAATTTTTTTTTTAGAAACTGAAATGTTTAAATTGCAGGTTTTAATCCACCTCTAATGGCTGTAAAAAACAATTACCTGATGTGGAGGACCATAGGAAAGCATTAAATATATAGATTCCCTGGTGATACGGTAGCACAACATGTTTGAACAATTAATAGGGGGCCCAGGAGTCTCATCTTCCACATCCTGCAGCAAGGCAGGAGGTCATTCATCACGATAGATACAACCAAGGGATGTTGTGTGGATTAATGTGCCAATAATGGTGGAACACATATACTTAACAAAGATTTCTTTGTGTGTGTGTTTGCAACTGTTAGATATCCATGAGTATTTTTGTGCATTAAAAAAAAAAAAAAGTTTAAAAGGCTAAGCATTAAAAATACAATTTTCACAGCCTTCTTTGCTCAGGTACCAATATTAGTGGAGAACAGTGCATATCTGGCGGACATCACTATATTGGGGGTATAGGGTGCAGGCTCCATACAACTGTACTGGCTTTACTCCCCTGATGGAAGCCTTGAATGCATGTGTCCTCTATGAGAAGCATTTTATTGACTATCAAGGAGGAGGCCATACCACCTTACATTTTGCTTACATTTTGCTCTTTGGATTTAACTTTGCTTCAATTTGAAATTTTAAGTGAATTGTATATTCAAGTTGCTTAGCTGTGACAACAATCATTAACAATATTTAACAGAACGCCATGCACACTGTAGTGGCTATGGTGCCAGAGTGAGAATTAAAACAATTTGGCACAAATAACTTTACCTAGGGCCCACTAAGCCTATAATGCTATCAGAACATTTTAGGATTTACAGTACCTGTTTATCCATAGATTGAGGCTTGAAATGTTGAAAGAGCATTAGAGAAGATGTTTTCTGTGAACTTCCAATTAATGCTGGGATAACTGATGCAATCTTCCTAGAATTCTAAGACAATCAACACAGAAAACACAAGATTATTTTCAAAGACACAATTTTATTTTGTAATTTATCAATATGGAATGAAAAATTACATTCCAACTACTGTATTATTTTTTTTCTAAATTTCTCTTTATGGCAATCATTTCAAGTCTTCCAACAAGAATTCCTCTTGAATTGGTGGGGAGGTATTAACTTCAGTGAGTTTTTATTTTGAATTTTACCAAGACATGTATATCTCAGTGTAATACTGTTCGATGTGTTTTAAATGATTTTAATATTTTTGGATAAAAATTATTTTTTTTAAATTATAATATCTAAAAATATATGTATCACTATAATAAAAATATGAAAACATTACAAAATTTAAATATTTTTTATAATAAATATTTTTTAAAATGCTTTCAAATAATTTGAAAAGCTTATCCAAAAATATTAAATTGAGGCCTTAGTTCAAAGGGGCAATCATTGTACATATACAAAGTCAAAATTACCATGCTGTAAATGTATTTTCAGCCAAACAGGGTTCTTCAATACAATAGGTAGCACTTGGTAGATGTCAGCCTCCATTCACTTACCTTATCGGTCTGCTGATCTGCCGACATCGGGATCAGTCGGACCGCCGCTCCCACGCCGAGAGATGCTCCATGCAGCATTAGGGACGCCAGCCGCTATGCGCCGCCCCTTTAAAGGACGCGGCCCATGCGTACCGATGCCATGAGGTCAGAAGAGCTCAACGCACACTACCTTTTCGGGGCATGGTTATGATAATCATGCCACTAATCATACAAGTCCAGTCTGCCCCTAAAACAGTGCCCTGTTGTGGTTCCTAGTGTCCCCTCAGCGTGTTCCTGTATCCTTTTGATAGTTTTAACCGATCTTGCTCTTGACTATTCTGATTTCCCTGACTCGGCTTTGTTCCTCGCTATTGTGTATTTCTGGCTTCCCTTGACCTTGGCTTGTTTCTGACATTTCTTGTAGTTTCTATTTTATCTGTCCAATCTAAGGACCGGCTTGGGGATTTTCTGTCTGTCTCCAATTATACTGGTGGTTTTCACTCTGCGTATTGGGTAATACCGTTACAGTAGAAACACCATCAAAGGAAAAATTACAAGCAATTTAAAAAAGAAGCAGCTTCATAGTCACAAATGCCTCAGATGTGAAAGAAAATAACAAGGTTAAGCACCTATATACAAAACTAATATAGAGATATTTATATTGAAAACCAATAACAAAGATAGAACCTGTGCTTATGGATATATTGCACAATCGTATACATATATGCAGTATAATCCCCACTCAAGTAGATATTTAAAAAAAAAAAATGATATAGTAGATGGTATAACAAAGCACTTCTATATTATAATGTACAGAATGAGAACCCATGCCCCATGAAATGCTCTAACTAGTTGGGTTATGTGGTATCATTCCCAGCAGTAGATACAGAATTAGTAACATATAACGCTGGTAATCCATTTATTTAATAGTGAACTCTAACCATCATAACAGGACACTATAGTTACTTAGACCACTTCATCTCAATGAAGTGGTCTGGGTGCAGTTGATCTGTCCTTTTAACCCTGCAATGTAAAACACTGCAGTTTTTTTTTTCTTTTTTTTTTTAAAGGACATCTCTAGTGGCTGTAAACCCCAGTTATGTGAGGTGGGGGACCACAAGAAAGCACTGAATGCAATGCTTTCCTATTGGAAAGATTAAATGTTTGTGTCCTATATAAGGAGCATTGGATTGGACTATCATGGGAGGAAATGGAAAAAGGTAGGAAGAAGGAGGAGAATCATGTTATACTGTTTTTTTTGTTTTTAGAAAATTTTGTTGGAGCTCTGAGCTGCACATTTGTAGTGCACATAGTTGATCCGCACTACATATGTGCACCACAGAGCTCCACAGAAATAAGCAGTGACCCTGAGTACAACAGTGCTCCCCAGCTACAAAACTCCCCAGCAACCTGTAGTGTTACTGACATTCAGCAAAACTCTACAAGAGCAGCACCTTCAGGTACTCTCCCCACAGCCCATATAGAGAAATGACTGTATTTCCAGTTGAACTTTGCAAAGCCCTCTTTGGGCACAGAAACTCGAGAAATTATGTTTCAACATCTATTTTGACATGCAAATGAGCACAGAAAGGCAATGTGTTTCAAATTTCACTCAGCATTTCTGCAAGTAGCCTTAGCAATGGACGCTGTTTTAAACACAGCTCTTTTTAAATCAAAGCACAGGTTATTATTCAAAAGTTATTTAGGCTGCACAGTTACTGTTGCTTTTCTGGAAGCTTAAGTCTCTCTGAGATGATCTAACGGGTGCCAGAAAAATTGTGCTGAGACAATAACATTCCCCCCATTGCAAACAGAGAAATTAGACAACAGTGTGCGTTGATATTTTTTTTCCTTTATAAACATGTCCTTGTAGTATTATGCTGTGATTTTTTTATTTTTTTCTTATTTTAATTCTTATGTATTTTTGTGTATGATTATTGCATTATTCCTCAACAGTAATTCTGTAATTGACATCTCATATAATTTACCTTGTTGTTTTCCAAAAATAGAATGATTGACCATTTATGGAATCCTTAAACCGCACTATGGAAATGCAACATCCCTAGCTTCTCACAAGGTACTACACATTTAAAGACTTGATAATCCTGTCACTGCTTATGAGTGTACATTGAAAAAGCATGATCTATTAAGATATTCATATCCCTCAAGTGTTTTTTTCATTTGTATAAATAAGAGTGTGCCCAGCAGTTGGGCAAGCAATAGGGTCAAGTTGATGACATTTGCCGCTTAGATAGATAGACAAGCAGATACATAGCTAGAAGGAAGACTAATACAAGTTTTCATCTTTCTTAGTTTACGTACATAATCTGAACCCAAATTCTAACTATTCAAGTATTGCTATAGGTTTAATGTTACTATTTTGTATAATAGGTAATCCCTTGATTATGAATGTCTTAATATATTCTATTACTTTATGTAAACTGAGTTTCAGAACATGCCATATTGGTTTCAAAATAAACTTACCTTTTTCATGAATGCATGGTGACGTATCTGAGAGTCAACGTAGTAGCCATACACTCTCAGGTGGTCATTTTCCTGTCCAGCAGTGAGCACAACATTTGTTTTGTTTCCCAGAGCATTAATGATTACCAGTTGTAAAAATAATGTTTGATGAACATTTATTCCTTCATCAGAAACCATTAAAAAATAGGGGCATTCTTCAAGCAGAAAGTTTTTCCATTCAGTTGATAGAATACTTGGAAAGGTATGGACAATGGTATCTGTATTTTCTTTCAAGTGCAGTCTCAGCTGAGTACGCAAGCAAATTAGATCAGATTGGCCCATGTACATATGTTCCATATCCTGCAGATAGAAAAAGATTGCAAATAAATACAACATTCCTTCATCAGTTTGTCAAGATATGCCAATATCATGTCTGACATCATCAGCAAAAGTTAGAAAAATTGGTATGGTCAACATTTTCAACCCAATGGCTAATGCTCAACCATTCCCCCTATCAATCCCCTCCCCACCCCCTTGCCACTCCTAGCCATACATTCCTTTAAATAACTGTGTTTCTCTACTCTTTAGGGCCATTTTACATCCACCCCTGCAACAAGCCCATTTAATTCAAAGACTGCAGCTTAAACAGAGAGCTTTTGCCTCTTGTACTTAGTAATTGAGGCAGAGTGCAGCACCTCACAGAAGTCACTGTTCTAAAATAGTTTGACTAAATACAGAGGGGGGCACCTGGCCACTAATGGCAAAAATATCAATACAGGAATCTGTAGTGGTTGTGGTGCTTGGGGTGCGCCTTTCTTTAAATTATTCTTTCTTAGATTGAGACAGTGCTAGTCGCGGTAAAGGATGGAATGGAAATGAATGAATAAAAGATAACATACAATGTTTTGGTCGTCTTCAAGATTATACATAAATTCCTGCTACATCTGCCTAATTTTTAATTTGAAACAACATTTGACTCTAACATGACAGATGGAACTAAGCTGGTATTCTGTTTTTAATCAAGTCATGTCGCTGTGTAAATCGGTTGTTGCATGGTTACATTCAAATTACAAATTAGGCAAACCTGCTATCAGCGTTGGGTTAAAAAACCCACAGTTTCTTGTACATGAGTGAGGGTAAATGCATGCTCTGTCTATGGTCATATTAGGCGTAATTAGTGTGCAATATAGACCAGCCTAGGACTATAGTGGTAGTCTTGCATTTTATATCTTGTTACTACTTGAGTAGCTAACCCCGCCGGAGGGGTGATGGTGCAGCTTAAATGGACCTTTGTGCGTCATCTGATGCTAAGGGGAGTAAGTAAGAGGGCAGTGTGAAATACACATCTGATTGGGTTACCCCTAACCAAGGGGATGGCAGGGGGGGTGGGAATACAATGTATACAGCCTTTGGTTATTGGCCTTATAAGAACATAAAAGCATAACAGAAAATGAGAAATAAACTATAAAACTCTTTTGCACAACTGTGTAGGCTATGGGTGACTGTCTGTCATTTTGGTTTGTCAGTAGATTGTATGCTCACTCCTTTCAAGTTTCTGGCACCCTGGAGGTGGCAGCTCTCGGTGTGAATGGGGCTGTGTTGGAAGGGTCCCAGGAGCTGGTGGGTACTTCCGTAGATGTTCTCACGTTCTGATCTCCCATGCCCAGTGATGTTATGAAGGTGGGTATGTCTGCACCAGATTCTAGTGTGTGAATAGTCCTGTTATGTCGCCAGCAAAGTTCCAAGGGGACCCCCATCTGTAGGCCACTCCAGCTGTTCTTAGTTGAGAGGTGACCGGAGCGAGGGAATTGCGCCAAAGTAGTGTCCTGAAAGAAGGTTAGGGATGCACCTTCAAAGGGCAATGAAGTTTTGCCTTTTAGGGCCAGCATAATGTAGGCATTATCTTGAGAGGAGGTGCATCAGAGTATGATGTCATGTATCTGGTCAGGTTGAGCCTTTGGTGAGCCTGTTATGCGATATACCATGTTGATGGACAGCTTTCTGGCAACTGAATGAGGTAGTATAGTCGTCAGCAGTCTTTGGGTATAGTGTGTCAGCTCTTCAGCCAAGATATTAGCGGGGACTCCTCTGTTCTTAACATGAATACGGCGCTGTCTATCTTCAAAGATTGAAGGGTGGTACAGGCAAGATAACTCCCTAACAGCGTAAAGTCCATCCTTTGTGTGTTGGAACATAAACTAGTCTATAACATAATGACATGGTCCGTCACAGCTATCTGTGGATCGGTTTTCCTATTTATTATGTATAAATTTGCAAAGGGATTAAGGTCACCTCATTCAAAAATTATGAGAAATTGATTTTTTTACTGGCTTTCATAGCAGGACTGTCTTTACCATTCAAGGCACTGGCAATAAATATATGAGGGGTTCCTTTCTCCTGATAAACATATTTCACATATGCATGAAGTTTGTTCAAATGTATGTAAAATAGCTCACGAGTTGTGTAGCATTTTTATATTGTATATACAAGTCCCTATGTTGTCTTATGATATATTTTGACTGCATTGGACTTTCCATGAAATTCCAGAACAGTCAGTCAATGTATTTCATTAAGATTCTATCTGTCTGAAATACTCAAGTTTTGTAATATGGTGCTGGTGCCACTTTAAAAGAGTCACCCTTTAATAATTGTTTTCAACCTTCATTCTTTTGTTCACTAATACAATCTGTTTAAAAGGACACTCCACAAAAAGAATAAAACACTGTTTAGCAGATATACTCCAATAAATACATACATGCATTTAATAATGCAATTTTCATTGGGGTATATATAAAAACAGCTTGCAAAACCTGCAGATCTCATATTTCATATCTACAGTATTTGTAAGTCCTCCCCTTCTAACCCTGTCCAGACTTTTCGTGGCTATCTAATCACAGACTTCCCAATGCAGGTCATTGCCTTTCTCCTGATAAACATATTTCACGTATGCATCTTGAGTTTGGCTCCATTGAGCTAAACAAACCAGGAAGTAACAGTTTTGGTTGTCTGTTTGACTGCTTGGAGCATGTAACCAGGTTAAAGGATCACTATAGGGTCAGTAACACAAGCATGTAGTCCTGATCCTATAGTGTTAAAAACACCATCTAGCCCCCACTAACCTCTCATTCCCTATAAATATAGTAAAATCTTACCTTTATTACAGTCTGCTGCTGGCTCTGTCCCTGATCTGCCTGCTTGTTGGACATCATCAGAAGTGTTGATCAAAGCCAATCACAATACTTTTTTGCATAGGAAAGCATTGGATCGGCTGACACTGTCAGGGGGGCAAATCAGGGGCAGAGCCAGCACAAGCCAAACACAGGCCTGGCCAATCAGCATCTCCTCATAGAGATGTATTGAATAAATGCATCTCTATGAGGAAACTTTAGTGTCTCCATGCACAGGGTGGAGACACTGAATGGGAATATGCCGCACTACCCCAGGAAGCACCTCTAGTAGCCATCTGAGGAGTGGCCAGCAGAAGGGACCCTAGGCTGTAATGTAAACACTGCCTTTTCTCTGAAAAAAAAACAGTGTAAATTCCCAAAAACTTGAAGGGAATGATTATACTCACAAGAACAAATACAATACATATTATATAATGTAGTTGTTCCGGTGACTATATTGTCCCTTTAATTTATAAAAGTTCCAATTTCTATTGAAATCTGCAATTTTTGTAAACTGAAAAAGAGGATGCACTCTACATATAAAGCATTACAGCAAGATCAAGTGCTTTAGGTATTTGGGGTGTTCCTTTAGCTATAGTAAAATAAATTTTGTAAGCAACAGAGATTGGTAAAATATAATTAAAATGAGAAAGGGAATGTGTTTTGCTGCTTCATCTGAAATTCTATGTTGGCCTCATATTGATGGTGTGCATTTCTTCACATTTAACCCCTTAAGGACCAAACTTCTGGAATAAAAGGGAATCATGACATGTCACGCATGTCATGTGTCCTTAAGGGGTTAAATCTCACTAGTGTTTTTTTTTTTAAACTAAAAGTTTCACAGGTTTCTGCAACATGACCCTATACCTTTAGCAATGTTTCCTATTTTCACAAAGCAACTTCCTTACTAGATATATTGTAAGTGTATGCACAGCCCAGCAAATGAGAGATACATGTGAGCTAAGCTGCTACTTTCCCTTTAACTCATGCTATTGAAAGCTGCAAAGTCTTTTATTTTTTTTTAGCAAAACTTAAGAGATTTAGATAAAGAAAAAATGCAGCATACCTTAATGTGACCTCGTTTGGTGTATTGTATGCACTACTGGAGACCGTATCTCCAGAAGGATATTAATACTTTGGAGACAGCTCAGAGTAGGGCTACTAAACTGGTTCATGGATTGCAGGATAAAACTTACCAGGGAAGGTTAAAGGATCTTAACATGTATAGCTTGGAGGAAAGACGAGAGGGGGGATATGAAAGAAACATTTAAATACATAAAGGGAATCAACACAGCAAAGGTGGAGACTATATTTAGAAGAAGAAAAGCTACCACAACAAAAGGACATAGTCTTAAATTGGAGGGCCAAAGGTTTAAAAATATTATCAGTATTACTTTACTGAGAAGTTAGTGGATGCATGGAATAGCCTTAGTTTAACAATGCATGGGATAGGCATAAGGCTATCCTAGATATAAGAGACTAATGAAAGTATTTAGAAAACTGGGAAGTTTAGAAGGGCCAAATGGTTCTTATCGCCATCACATTCTATATTTTTATGCTTACAATGTTTTAATTAAAAATAAATAAATAAATGTACCAACCTCAAAGAAAATAACCACATATATGGCCCCCTTGTTTTTCATGTTTAGTAAAAAACGCTCGAGCAGGAAAAAGAAATGCAAATCTTGCCCTTTTTTCAAAGTTTCATCTCTAACACAAGTGATCAGCAAAGAATCTCCATCAATCAAAAAGAACTCTGATTCAACATAATCATTTAGAAGACTGGCATATCTGAAATAGAAAACCAAAAATATTTGTAAAAAGTCTCTCAAAGTAGTTTAACTATAACATGTCACTGTAATTTACATATATAGTTTTCCACATATAATTGTATTTAAGCCTGGAATAGAATGGGTTAAATTCAAGTTTAATGGAGATCATCTATAGATCATAATAGCTCATAATAATGAAGAGGGACAAAATAATTTACCGAAAAGCAAGTGCACAACTACTTCTCGTAATTTGAGACACTGCTGTATGAATCATGATGTAAACAAAATAGCATAACCTCCGTTGAACAGGATCCAAATAAAATATTACACAATTTTATATTAAATAATATTTTTTCCTAAAATTCCCTAAATTTTGTTAGAGAGGATATCTAAAATAAACAGGACACTTAGATATCCAACAACATGAGACCATGAGAGGGTGATAGCCTATGATATAATCAGGGGTTCCACGGCTCTATGAGTCTGGGATGGGCCAAATAATATTCTAACAAATGAGGCTCTGCCAACAGGTTGAGCAATCCCATCCTAGGAGACATTCATGAGTTTAATTTGTTTCATTTACAAGAGGGAGGCCTTTTTCTGTCCACTCTTAAGTTAGTATTTAAACTGCCCCCTTCCTTTTCCATCAGCAGGCTAATGCACTGTCTACTACATTAGCCTGCCATTTCAGCCATCCCACCAATAAGAGATCTGACGATTTGCGGTCATGTAATGACAAAGGTTATGTGACCCTCCGGCCCACTTACTGTTTTCATTGTTGTGTGAAGTATAGAGAGAAGCCTGGCAGATGATTTAAAGGGTTTCTCCAAGAGCCATGACTTTGTCAGTCATTTGAAGAGGTCGTGTTGCTTGCAGTCTGTATGTGCAGCAATTTGCTATGAAACACTGCACATACAGATGTTAACCCTGGCTGCGTAAAATTGGCATCTAATCCCAGCATGCACAGCTTGCTGCAACAGATAGCCAATTGCAGCCTGGCCCCCTTTTGTGTCACCTCTGTCCTCTCTTCAGTTGGTCCTCCCTAACCTCCCTCTCGCTTCAGCAAAAAGTAGTTCAGGATCAGAGAGCGCCTCATCGCAGGAAAGAAAAGATAGGTTTAAGCATTGTTTCATTTATTTGTGGGCGGGGGGAATTGGTGGACCACAGAACTGGTTACTACATTTCAAAACCAAGGTTTTTTGGTTGGAGTAACCCTTTGAGCTATTCTGGGAATGAAGGGAAACTAGGAAGGGACATTTTACTTGGGTAGTGATGGACACCCGTGTGGGGCATATTGTTTCATTTGTGCCCGGAGAATAAGCATCTCCTTGTCCTGTGTTAGGTTAAGTACATGTATTAGGGTATTAGGGTTTTTGTTTATTACGAAAGTTTTGGGTATGTATGTAATTTGTGTCCATGATACAATTACCATGTAAATATCTTTTTAGTATGGCTTACTTAATGGTCAACTATACCAGATTTGTTAGGTCATGACCACAGCAGATTTGCAGCTCTAGAAGTGGCAAACCACATCTGGAAATGTATTGTGTGAGTAGGATGTCATATTATACCAGCATGTCAAAAGTTAGCATGCCATCTTTGGATGTGAGTGGAAATTGAGAAGTGGTAGGTCAGTATCAAAATACTTTCACACTGTGTTCCTGCAGAGGTTAAACAGTAAAATCCCTCTTCCATCTGGCCATATATATGGAGGAGGAAACCCTGTTATGTGAGAAAGAGATGCAAGGAGTCTCAAATGGTGTGAGAAGATTAATTTTAGTCAAGAGGGCTTATTTGACAAGACAGACCTAGTGAAGTAGAGGGTTTCACTATAGGTAGGGATTAAATAAAATATATGATTCTCAGAAGTGTGCTCATTTGCACAATTATACTCCTCCCCATCCACATAATATGTAAGAGGGACAAGCAAGAGAGCTCTTTTGTGATCATTATTAATTGTGATCATAAGTTGGAACTGTAGAGGCAGGGGTGTATATTTTATCAAAAAAACATTTAATTCTTTAGAAATCTTTTGATTTTTATCAGTTTAGACTCTGCACAAATAGTTCTATTTGTATCACATTATAAAGCATGCTCTTTTGTGCAATTTATATATATCATCAGAGGTACATACATCTCCACGAATATTGTAAATACTCACAAGGCTTTTGAAAGTTGGGATGTGACAAACTCATTCATCTTATCAAGGAATCCTTTATTTTTCTTCACTTCTACATCTACAGGAAATATATATATAAGAAGTGTATTTGCATACATCAAAAAGAAAAAAAAAAGTAATCACCTCCATAATCACAAGTAACTAAAAAAGAAAAAAGCAGAGCCTAGATATGAATATGAGGCACAAATATGGGTAGAAACTAAATGGGGGGTAACCCCTAAATGGTTAATTTATATGAATACAAAAAAGAAAAGAAAAAAACTACCATAGAGTGTCTCAACATTTTGGTAAATATAGTCACAATGAAATGGGCATAAAAAATAACTTTTAATGGATATATTAAAATGTAAAATAGAAAAGATAAAAGCAAAACAAAAAGCACAAGGCTAAAAAATAATATGTCCTATAAACTAGTAGGGGTATTAAACCTCCAATAGAACCAATAGCAAGAGAAGTGTTGCTTCAAAGAAATACTTATTGGTGTAAAGTAAAACTACTTGCTATGAACAATGTAACTGTATTCTAAATAGAGAAGTTGGATACTAGTATCTTCAGAACTCTTCCTGCAGAACAGGGTAGGTTGAATATAGATGAAATGCCTCTAGTGCACAAGGGGTTAAACAGCACAACAGTTGATTGCAATGGTTAATAGAAAAGAGGCAGGGAATACCTGTAAATAGGGAGGTATAGGAGGGAATAACAAGCACTTAGTTTTTCTATCTTACAAGTGTCAGGATTACCTATACTTCCTACATCTCTATTTATCATTGCATCTAATCATAGCTTGTTATTGCCTCCTATACCTCCCTATTTACAGGTATTCTCTGCCTCTTTTCTATTAACTATTGCAACCACATTGGTGTGCTGTTTAACCTCCTGTGTATTAGAGATACTTTATCTATATACAGCAGACCCTGTCCTGCAGGAGGAGTTCAGAGGACACCAATACTTCACCCTCCTATCTTGAACATTGTTTATAGCAAGTGGCTTCACTTTTTACTATTTAAGTATCTCTCTGTATTTACACCTTTTTGGGAGGTTGTGCTATATAGTATAAGCATTTATTAAGGGGTGCCCTCAAAGGCACTTAGATTTTCTATCTTACAAGCATCAGGATTATCTATATTTTCTACATCTCTATTTATCATTGCATCTAATCCTAGCTTGCTACTGCCTCCTATACCTCCCTATTTACAGGTATTCTCTGCCTCTTCTTTATTAACTATTGCAACCATATTGGTGTGCTGTTTAACCTCTTGTGTATTAGAGGTACTTTATCTATATACAGTAGACCCTGTTTTGCAGGAGGAGTTCAGAGGATACTAATACCCCACCCTCCCATCTTGAATTCAATGACATTATTTATAGAAAGTGGCTTAACTTTTTACTATTAAAGTATCTCTTTGTATTTACATCTCTCTTGCTAGCAAGCGTCAGGATTACCTATAGTCTCTATATTTCTACTGACCATTATATCTAACCTAGCTTGCAACTGTCTCCTATACCTCTTTATTTTACAGGTATTCCCTGCCTCTTTTCTATTAACCATTGCAACCAACTGTTGTGCTGTTTAACCCCGTGTGCACTAGAGGCATTTCATCTATATTCAACCTACCCTGTTCTGCAGGAAGAGTTTTGAAGATACTAGTATCCAACTTCTCTATTTAGAATACAGTTACATTGTTCATAGCAAGTAGTTTTACTTTACACCAATAAGTATTTATTTGAAGCAACACTTCTCTTGCTATTGGTTTTATTGGAGGTTTAATTCCCCTACTAGTTTATAGGACATATTATTTTTTAGCCTTGTGCTTTTTGTTTTGCTTTTATCTTTTCTATTTTACATTTTAATATATCCATTAAAAGTTATTTTTTATGCCCATTTCATTGTGACTATATTTACCAAAATGTTGAGACACTCTATGGTAGTTTTTTTCTTTTCTTTTTTGTATTCATATAAAAACCTCCATAATCACAGTTTATAGATGAACATAGTTTGAAAATAATAAAAAAAAAAAAAAAATGAATGGGTACTCTAAGCACACAAACAACTTTAGCTTAATAAAGCAGTTTTGGTGCATGGGTCATGACCCGGCAGTGTCACTGCTTAATTCTTTGCTATTTAGGAGATAAATTAATTTGGTTACATAGCCCTAGGCACAGATGCCTTGGTTGAGAATTACACAGCCTTCTTAAACACATCCTGAAAAGGATTCTATTTCTATAACGTCCCTTATAACACATGGTCTTTAAAATTTCTTATCTCCTGCTCTGTTCATTGCGTGTTAGAGGCTGCATAGGCCTCCTGTTTGTGAGTAAAGTTTAATCAAAAGAGGATTCATCTGCCCAAATACAAAATAAATTAAAAAAAAAAGTTTTAGTAGACATACCACAAATGAACTGGCATGCATTTAACCCCTTAAGGACACATGACATGTGTGACATGTCATGATTCCCTTTTATTCCAGAGGTTTGGTCCTTAAGGGGTTAATTATGCATTTTTTCATTGGCGGTATATATAAAACCGCTTGCAAAACTGCAGATCTCTTTGCAAGCCTTCCCCTTCTTACAAAAACAGAAGATGTATTGTCTGAAGCCTCTGCAAGACCTCTCCTTCTAACCATGCCAGTGGCACAAACTAAGTAGAGTGGGCCCTGGTGCAAGCGTTTTTGGGCACCCCCTATTGCAAAGGTGGTCAAAAGGTAGATTCCCATTTGTTGTACAACTCCAGCAATGCTTTGACAGCTGGGGCTCTACTTTTTGACCACCTTTGCAATAGGGGGTGCACCAGGGCCCACTCTGCCATTTCCCATGCTTGCAAGGTTGTATTTAGCATTGAGCAGAGTTTGTGTGTTTGAATGTAAGCATGTTTTTGTATGAAGTATGTTTGTGTGAATGTATTGTTGGAGTTTGACTGCAACCTTGCATTTATGTGTAATGATGGTTTTTGAATTCAGAGGTATGTTTAAATATATTTTTGGTGTTTCCATGAAGGTACAGTAATAGTTTTATACATAATGGTGCATGTGCTCATCTATGTTTTTACAATGTAAAAAGGAATGAGGTAATTCTAATACATAACAACCATAGTACAAGCAAAATAACAGTGCAGCTAGAGTGGCATCTCTCCCATCCATTTCATTCAGCTAGCAGTAACATTTCAAATTAAAAAATACTAAAATATAAATAAATGACCCAAAGGGAAAAAAAAGTCAGTGAATAATTTCAAATGGATGCAAGCTAGGAAATCATGAGCATTAACTTTGTAAAGTAATACAATGTGAGCAGGATGTAGATAGACAGGGGAACTGAGTACTGAAATAGCAGATGAAATTTAATATAGGAAAATGCAAAGTTATGGACTTCAGAGTAAAGAATGCACAAGCAACTTACACCCTAAATAGTAATGAATTGTTGTAGGCAAAAAGGTGTAATGTTAATTAGCAGTTGCTAAGGTTAGTAAGGTATTGTCATGTATAAAAAGGGGCATTAATATAATTTTGCTTCTTTATATATCAATGGTTAGACACCTTGAAAATGCTGTGCAATTTTGGGCCCCTGTTGTAAAGAAGGATATTACCGCACTAAAAAAAAAGTGTAGAGGTGGGCTACAAAATTAATAAAAGGAATGGGACATTTTAGTTATAAAGAAAAGTTAACAAATGTAAATTTGCTTAGTTTTGAAAAACAGCACCTCAGATGGGATATGATAGCATTACACAAATATATTTGGGCCAATACATACCATTGTCTGAAAATCTATTCATAAACAGGACTATACATGTCCACACATTTAGACGAAGAAAGGCGATTTAGTCTTAGACAAAGGAAATGGCTTCTTACAGTAAGAACAATAAGGATGTGGAATTCTCTGCCTGAAGAGGTAGTTTTGTCAGTCTACACAGATGTTTTAACAGCAATTGGATAAGTACTTGCAAAAACATAATACTCATGGATATAATTTTTAATTTGTGGGGTTATAGCTTCTTGATCCAAGCACATATCTGATTGCCATTCTGCGGTGAAGTAGAATTGATTTCCTAGTTATTTGCAAAATTGCAAAGTGCTTCAAAGTGGACTAAGTGAACTAATTAATAATGATAAATTAATAATTATTGAATCACCTGAAATTTGGTGTATAGTGGTTGCAATGCTTTCACTGTCACTGTCACTTTCACCAGAAGAATCCGTTTCCAAGAAGTCACTGTCTGTTGAACACGTATCACTGTTCAGAATATCTTCTTCAGGGCCAGATTTTTCCGAAGCCATGATTTGCCTAAAATACATGAATAAATACACAATATTCATTTGTGAAATTATATAAGTGCAATTAGCGGACAGACATATTTATGACTATAATTGTATAAATAAACTGCAATCAGTTCATTACAACAAGAATTTTATCAAGATTAGGCTACAAAGAAATACACAATCAGTGGTCAATGACTTCACACAAACAAAAATGTTAATCATGTCACTGCAAATCAACATATAAAGCATGTAGACATGATCAACTGGTTTAGTTGATGCTTAGCCAGATAGTCTGACCATCTTTTTATTGTTGGAGCTAAACAAAAAGGATCACTATTGTATAACCAAGTATAACGGCCCTACTATTCAAACGGATTTGCAATTCTCATATTTACTAACAGTAAATCAAATCACAATTTGATCATTTTGAACAATTGAGCATCCTAAGTGTCTTTGCTCCATTATGTGTCTGGTTTAATATTTGCAGTGACTGCCTGGAAATCCTATATAAAATACTGTATTTGCATATTCACCAAGCACTGAAGGGCTTATTCAGCGAAGTCCGAATGGACTCAAATAGGACGCATTCATTGGGCTGCATGCAGGGCTATTCAGACTGCAAAATCTGAACATTGTTCATGCTAATCAACAATGAGGATTTTGCAAATCAGACCCCGAATTTGGTCCACATGTCAGCAACAACAACTACCACCAGTCCAAATGATTTAAATCCAGGCCCAGCTTTTTTGTTAAAAAAAATCCAAGCTAGTAAGGATTCCTCTTTTTAGAATACCAAATTAGCGAGCTGTTTAGTAAATGGTTTCCCTAATTTGGAAACCTGATGTGGGATTTTCCTACTTTGCATACAAAATTAGGGCACTGTTTAGTAGATGACCCCCTAATTTAGTATCCTTAAGTGGGATTGCCTATTCAAGGATACCAAATTAGTTTGCTGTGAAAAGCGCTGCCTCAACGGTACAGTTATGTCACATGAAGAGAAGCACCTATCATGTCCTGCCAACAGCATAAAATAAAATCTATTCCTCCCCCCCACACCCCAAAAAAAAGAAAACATTAAGGTTTGAAAGTTCTGTCACACCAATAAAGTGGTTTTCAAAGTCACAGGGGGCAGCACTTTTAATGTCCTGCCTAGCAGAATAAACTAAACTATTTTTACTAAAAACAAGTAATTATAAGTAATACAATCTTTATACAAATTGTTGTGTAGATGTGAAAAGTGCTGCCACACTAACAGTGGTTTTAAAAGTCACGAAGGGCAACACTGTTCATGTCCTGCAAAACAACATACAGGTATGTAGGAATTTTGTAGATTTTATATGTTGGTCACACCTCATGACTGAAATCAGTGAACCAGTGGATTTTAACTCTTTTAAGAAATCTTCTTCAGAAATGGTAAACCATGTGAGGTGGCATAGTTGTCACCAGTATTTAACATTTAGCCAGGATGAGACTATGTGTTTTTTTATAAAGGTACCTATGCTCAATATACATTATTTATATTCGCTATAAAGTTAGAGGCCCAATGGAGTTAACCCTTTAAACATACCAGTTACTTATTCAGAGATGGTAAAAAGTGTTAGGTCGTAAAGTTATCACAACTTCTTACCATAAAAAAAAAATTGGGCCAGACTTAAACTATGCAGATATTTATTTATTTTAAAATTTTTACATTTTGTATTTTTCCTGTGCAAGTGAATACAAATAAGTTTACATTGCCACGATAGCCTAGACAAGCATTCATAGTTTCCGACATGTTCAAACAGGATTATTGGAATTTGTTGAATATGCACAATTTAAAAAATATATAATAATCAGGTAAGCACGCATGTCTTAAAGGGAAACTATAGTTCTAGGAATACTATAGTGCTGCCTCTCTCTTGCCCTCTCACCCCATGTTGAAAGGGTTAAAAACCCTTTTGTCACTTACTTGATTCCAGCACCAATGTCCCTCGGTGCTGGGTTAGGCTCTATCTTTGCTCCTCCTCCACCAACGCCATCCGGGGGGAAGTAATGTGCATGCACGGCAAGCACCGTGATCACATCAGGACTACCCATAGAAAAACATTGAATTAATGCTTTCCTATGGAATTTCAGCTGACACTGGATGTTCTTATGCAGAGTGTGAGGACGTCCAGCATCAGTTAGTCAACCAAAAGTCGCTTAACCACCAGGAAGTGCCTCTAGTGGTTGTCTGGTAGACAAGAACTAGAGGTAGAGTTAACCCTGAAAGGTATACTTTGCAGTTTATCAATAAGTGCAATAACTACTATTACAGGGTTAAGTTGACAGGAGCACTACACTCACCCAATGAGCTGAAGTGGTATGGGTGCCTATATTGTCCCTTTAATGATAAACTGATAGTAAATACTTTACTGAATATTTTGAACACAGAATGCAAGTTCAAAAACCCAATAAACACAAATGACACAAAAAGTGCCAGAGGCTATTACCACTATGAACCAAACAATAGAATCACAATATGACACTTACACAGAGGCCTCTATTGAGAGCTGGAAATGTGTAAATCTACATCCTCAACGTTTCGGCACCTAACAGTATGCCTTTCTCAGGGGACATCATGGTAGCGATACCTCTTTAGGACAGCACCCTCTTTTTTTTTTTTTTACCAACCTTTACCAATTTGTGTTTGATTAATAATAAACTGAAACTTGAAACATAGATGTTGGTCATAATGCACAATGATAATAGAGCACTGCTTCTGCATAGGGCTATTAGTGAGAGAAAAAGAAAGATTGTATGTCAGTAGGTATATAAGAAGAGATGGGTATAAATCAAGCTGTGCATCATAAAATAATAGAATATAACTCTTCCTCGGTATATGAGATGGATAGCCTTGGTACCACAAGAAGTCGTCAAGGGTAGTCATCCCACAACGCAAGTAGGCCAGTGTTCAAGGTCTAGCTCCACACCAGGACTCAGGAAGGCTGAGCTACCTATTGGGGGCCAAGATATCCCCCACCGATCCAAGGGGGGGACATAACGGGGCTGCAGATTGTCAGCTGTTAAGTGGGCAAGTAGCTTAAAAAGATCGTCATACTCTCCCAACAGTGTGCGTGCCAATCTCAACAGGCTGAGCAAGGATGAGTCTTCCAGCTTCACACTTTAAACCAGGCTAAAAGAGTTGCCCACAAGTTGCAGATCTGTAGTTTTTTGCTTGTAGCTATTTGCGTAAGAAAAAGCAGCAAGAGTAATGCGTTTAATGTTCGAGCCAAAGAGAGCCACTAGAAAATACTTCCAGCCATCTTGGATGCCATGCCCTACACCCCAAATATGTGGATTTTATACAAGAACTCTTACTCTAAATATATTCACACTAAAAATTATGAAGATTTTATACAAGCTCTCACCATAAATATATTAACACTGAAATCAGTGGTCCAACTTATTCAAACCATAACCAAACCCGTGCAATGTTTGAAAAATATTTATTGAAATACAAAATGTATTTTTACAAAACATTAAGCTTGTTTGGGTTCTCGGAAAGTATTGTTTAAATCTTTTTTTTAAATTACAAATATATTTTTCTAGGTTCCAACACTAAAGAAGAGAGATTCCCACACAAATTCCCAATTATTGCCTTTAAAAAGTATAATCTTTAAAAGTTCTGAATAAAACATGCTAAAACCACCCCCAATGTGCTGCACAAACTCATGGTAATTCAGGTTATCTAAGTATACAATTTATATAAAACAGATAAATTGAGAAACTAGCTTCTCAAGCACCAGCAGTTACAGTAAAACTATAATGGAAAAAAAATGCATTTTTTTATTTTAAAAATAAAATTAAAGGAACACTTTATCGTTAGGCATACAAATATATATTCCTAATGCTATAATGCCCTAGTGTTGCCAGGGTTCCTTATTTCATGATGATTTTACCATTGATTATATTCACAAAATAAGACAAATGAGTAAAGCTACTAACACAAAAAAGGTGCATTTTCATCTTGAAGGATTTTTTTTATTCTTTAAAGGAACACTACAGTGTCAGGAATACAAGTGTGTATGTATAGTTGCAAAAACACTGTTTAGATGACATTTAAAAAGGTGCTTCTACCAACATTTCTTTCAGCGCCGCGCCATTTTCGCTGTGGCTGGCTCTGTCTCGCCTCTGTGGCTGAGATCATCATATTTGACAATCTCAGCTAATCAAATGCTTTCCCATAGGAAAGCATTGGGAGGCTATATTGCATACATGTCAAAAGGCTGAGTTGCACCAATCAGCATTTCTTTTTTTTTTGAATTCTTTATTTTTGTTGTGCAGAGAGTTACAGGTTATCAACATACGCCACAACAGCGTGTTTGAAGATGCGTTTAGGTTTGACAGTGGCATGAGAGATTGCACATTTTTATATAAGTAAAACAATTTTAAGCCAAACAGCGAGAACGTTAGCATAAGATAGGGTGGTCCACGTTTAACATAGCTCGTTCATCTTTGCTAGTGTAGTTGTAGTGTCGTGATATGGTTTGCAATATAATGATATCTGGACCATATGTGTTGTATATACAGGTTGCGCTACTCTTATATATGCTGTGTTGCATGAAATAAAAATTTTAAAGAACGAAAGAAAACGCTTAACAATTAACAATGCTAGAGCTTGCCTATAGCATAAGGTGTCATCGTTACACATTCCACATGCTAATGCAAACAGTTGTGTGGTGAGCAATCAAGGAAACCTGCGTGGGTTTGAGTTAGTCTATGCGCCTTCATGCTTAATATGTAGTCGCTTGGTCTCGAGGAATTCCCTCTCTATGGTCCCCTATGTGAGTTGTTGGAAGGGATGTGCAGGGCTCGGTTACATACAGACAGTTGTGGGAGTTCATCTGAGTTATGAAAAATTGGTGAAAAAATAAAGAAAAAGAAAAATAATAGAAAAAATAAGTAAAATTAAAAGAGGTGATGAGTCCTTTGCTAGGCAATGAGTCCCAGTGCTGTGTGGTTCATCCGATGCCTTGTAGAGGCTCCCCTTGTGCCATCTGCTGCTGCTGTGATGTGAGCTGCGGTTCTCCCAGTCCGGTGATGCGAGGGTGGAGTGTCTGAGTGTAGGCCGGCATCTGGTGTGGTAGGTATGATGTGGCTCTGATAGAGGGCCCTGCCCGACTGTGTGTCTGTAGGCTGAGTCTGTGCTTGTGGCGTTGTGCTATTGCGGCCCCCATGGTGTACTTTGTGGTCTGCCGTTTGTTGATGTGAGTGGGATGGTTCGTACCTCTCCTAGGCTGTTTCACGGCCGGACGGTGAGTTTGACTTCTGCGCCGCCTTCGTCCTGCAGCGCCCCCAGTATGTTTTACCTGGGTCCGGCTGTGGTTGCCCTTAGTGAGGCTTCTGGTCTCCGCTAGCAGGGCGGTCTTTCTCGGGAGCTTGTGGGGACCGGGTACGGAGCCGGCGGTGTATGCCGGTACTCCCATCCGGGTCCCTCGTGCTGGTTCTTGTGTCTTGCCATCCGGCTGGGCCTCCTGCTCCGAGGGCCACGCGAGTTTCTCCAGCTGCTCCCAGAAGGAGTCGAATATGCGGGTGAGCCGGAGCTCCGTGTCTCGTCCGGCCTTGTGGAGGGCCGAGGCGTGGTTGCCGTCCGCCATTTTGTCGGCCTTGTCTGCAGTTTCCACACCGCGCGGTTGTTTCGTCCGCTCATCTCCTTTCAAGGGGATCGTGAGGGGGTGGACCGGGATGACCCCCGCCGGTCCTGGGGGGGGGAACGAGGGCTCGGAGGCCAGTACCTGGCTGGTACAGGCAGCGGGAAAGCGGCCGTCTTCCCCGCGCCCTCCCTGCTGGTAGGCCCCGTCTTGAGTCTGGGTGCGCCTGAGGGGCATCGTCGCTTGTGTGGTGTCTGTTTGTGCGCCCCATAGTCGCCTGTCGCTTGGTGGCCGTAAGGAATCAATTTAGTGCCTTTTTGGGGTCTTAAACCCGCTTTGGTTGCCCTGAGTTGCAGGAGCTGCTGAGACATGCTTCCTCACAGTTCAGCGGTCAGGCCCCGCCCCCCCAATCAGCATTTCTTATGGAGATGTATTGAATCAATACAACTCTTTGGGGAACATTCAGCACCTCCAAGATGAGCATAGAGACACTAAACGTCAGTGCTGCACACTGTGCCTCACTGACCGAGGAGGCACCTCTAGTGCCCATCTGAGTAACTGCCACTAGAGGTGTTCCTAGGCAGTAATGTAAACTCTGCCTTTTCTCTAAAAATGAAAAAAGCCTGCAGGTACATACTATACACACCAGAACAACTACATTAAGCTGTAGTTGTTATAGTGCCACTATAAAAAAAACAAAAAAAAACGGAAGACCTGTTTCAGAAAATCTGCCATTCTGACTGAGGCAGAAACTTTTGCACTTCTCTTTTTATGCACTAACAGCACCACTATTTAAAGCCCTATAGTGGCAGGAATATAAAGTATTTCTAACACTAGAATGTCCCTGTCCCTGATTTAAAAGGTCATTCCCCCCCTCCCCCCCAGCATGAAACTGTTAAAAAAAACTTTTTACTCTTTCCTGTTTCCAGCATTGAGGCTCCCTTAGTGCTGGCTAGGTCTCCTCATTCTGCGATGCCATGGCAATGATGGAACCTGATGTACGCACTCGGCGAGTGCCGTGAGCGCCTTAAATATTACCTAATGGAAGGCATTGAATCAGTACTCCCCTGTGGGAAATTTGAAGATGTTAAACATCCTCACGCAAAGCAGGAGTTAGGCTAACGTTTGTTAATGGAGTAAAATTCCATTAGGCACAAGGAGGTGTCTCTAGTGGAGCCAGTATAGATGGACATAACCCTGCAATGTAAAACATTCTCTGAAACTGTTTTAAATAATGTTTTACATTAGAAAATTAAGGGGACAGGAACACTGCACCTAGACCACTTCAAGGAGATAACGTTTAAAGGGCCTATAGCAGGGATAGGCAACCTTCAGCACTCCAGATGTTGTGCACTAAATCCCCCATAATGCTCTTACATCCATAATGCTGGCAAAGCATCATGGGAGGTGTAGTTCAAAACATCTGGAGTGCCAAAGGTTGCCTATGCCTGGCCTATAGAGTCCCTTTAAAATAAAATAAAATAATTTTAGAACAAACTGTTGGGAGGGGAGCAAACAGTAATATTGTATGGTAAATTGAAGGAAACACAACAAAATTGTGGTGTGCATACAACTGCACCTTTTCTGTTTTTTTTTATAAACCCTTAATGTTTCTATTTATTTTCTTCATTTGCAAGGTTGGCCTCTGCATTTCCATATCTGATTGGATTATGATGTAAATTGCTTAATCCTTTATATAAATGTACAGGAAAACAGAGCATCTCGTGAAACACGTGTTACATTTGTTCTTTAGTCTTTCATTCAATTGTGTAAATTTCAGAAAAGTGGCAGTTGCGCTTTAAAAACAGATACAAAATTACAAATACACTGTATATACACCTTTGTTTAAAAAAAAAAAAAAAGGCTGTTAATATCTACATTATGTGATAAAAGCATTAGTAAAATAATATGAATGGGACTCTTACATAACTAAGGTTTGGTTTGGGGTTTTTGCCGATAAAAAAAAATTTTTTTTTTTTTTTTTTACAGGAAGTAAAAAAAAAAAGGATGTACGTAATCCAAAAGGTTAGACTCACTGCTCCACAGTTTGCATTTTTATGAATAACCCAGAGCAGTTTTGTTTTCGTTTACTTACAGTGTGCAGGCAGCAGTACAGGAAAACAAGCCGGCAGCTCTCTGAATTATCTTCCAGCAATCAAAGACAATGCGTTTGCTTCTTTGTTTCAACAATAGTCTGTAAAATGAGCGGGGTTTGCGCAGCTAGATTCTAAGAGGGGTAGTTTCGATTCTCCGGTCCTGACTCATACTGTCATGTGTTCCACAAATCTTTGTCTGCTGAGAGAATCATGGCGATAGAATGGAGTTCCTGTACGACACTGTACTGGCTGCCACAGAGACATTGCTCCTCCTCCAATCCGCTGGTCGCTTTCTCATAAACAGAAAGGAAACAGGAAATCCATTCAGAGAAGGGATCTTTTCCAAAAGCATGTGGACTAGGATTTTCCTGCTAACAGGCATGACAAACCCAATCTATATAAAGGATTCTCTCTATGCTGTAAAATGATTGACAGGACAAGGAAAGGGCGTTTTTCTTTTTCTCATTTCAAAAATCAGAGAGGATATTTGCGAGCAATTCTGCTCGGTTAATTATTTTTTAGATGAAATCCGATTCTCTGTCATTTGAGATCAAACTGTAATTTAACCCATAATATATTCCTGGGTCTACAAAACATTGCAGTGTTACAATAGGATACAATATTACTAATTGAATATATTAAACCCACGTTCTTGATTTAATGTATCTTATGTCAAAAATTGGTTACACAGAAATACATAGTAAACATTTTTCAACTATTGCTACAAGTGCTTTCAAAATTAAAATGAATACTGCCTCTCTGCGCTTGTAATTGTCATTTTCATTGAGTGCTTTGCAGCAAATTATAATGCAAACATCAAAATTGACTCTTAATTAGCCACACTGTCACTATAACTTTGAATATTTTTTTCCTGATCGGCTATTTTTGCACAATGTTTGCAGTTCAGATTTAAATTCGCTATAATTAAGAATTTAGGGCCTAAACCTCAAAAATGTTTTTTGTTTTTTCTGATCAAATTCTCTGTTTATTGAAATTGCAGACATATTATAAACAGGCATTGTTTGTATTGCCAAAGTACAAGCAACCACATCGTACACAAGTAATAAAACATGACAGTATTATAGTATTTAATCTGGGTTAGCATATAGCTTCCATACAAAGTGCAAAGTTTTTCAGTATAGCTAAAGTTATGAGCTATGCAAGACTGCAAGACTACTAAGGAGTGTTGGGACAAGCCATCTAGAGCCACCATGCAACTGCATAACTTAAATACTTTAACAAAGGAGAGCCTTCGTTGATATAGTGCCTCTGCGTGAGATTCACATCTCTCTTACCAAAATCTGCACGCGACAGGTGCTATTTCTTATGCACTCCTACTAGAGCTAAACTACTTTTTTTTCTAGTCCTTTTTATCCCGTATCTGAAAGCCCTATCACACCTCGCCCCTCTGTCGATCCTTACACTGCCTTACTGTATCCTATAGGCGTCAATTCAAAATACTAACCCTTACCTATAAAGCTATAACCAACGCTAAATCCTCTTACATTTCTTCCCTTATTCATAGATATGCCCCTTCTCGGTCTCTCCGCTCAGCCGGTGACCTTCTCCTGTCCGCTGCTCGCACCCTTACTGCTAACTCGCGCTTGCATGACTTCTCGCGGGTTGCTCCATTCTTTTGGAACAGCCTGCCTACCCCCATCAGACTCTCCCCTAGTCTTCAATTGTTTAAGAAGTCCCTCAAAACACATCTGTTCTGAAATGCTTAGAGACTCACAGAGTAACTTATCTAAACTTATCCAAATCTGTCTCTCGCTCTCGCTTGTACCCCACTTCCTCTAGACAGGGCCCTCATCTACCTAGTGTTCCTGTGTCATTGTGTAATTGTCTCATTTATTGTAAATTTCTCCCTTTCATAATATTGTAAAGCACTGTGGAATTAGTTAGCGCTATATAAATACCAATAATAATAATAATAATAATAAGGAAGTGACCCTGGAAGGCACAGGGAGATATGACGATTCATGGCCTGTTCATATTGGACAGGAATGGCATTTCCCTTCACTACAGTGAGTGGAATCGCAAGAAAGAGGCTAAAATCTCAAAAGACGAGGAATACAAGTTTGTGTACGAAATGCTTTTCTCTATCAGATCTTTTGTGAGCAAGATGAGTCCAGTTGATATGAAAGAGGGCTTCCTCTCCTTTAAAACCAGCAAGTACAAGCTGCATTATTACAAAACACCAAGTGCCTTGAAGATGATCATGAACACAGATCTTAGTGTGGGGAGCATTCGAGAGGTCATGCACCAGATATACAGTACAATATATGTATAATACATTGTAAAATATTATCTCTGTTCAGTGAGCAAACCAATTCAAAGTGAACTTTTCAAATTCAAACTGGACTCTTTTATCAGAAGCCTTCCTTTCTTCTCTGTGCTCGAGCTTGCTAAAGGAGACAGATTTTACTACACACTTCATGTTCATGCATCAATCCACATTATTTGGTTATGTTGTGTGTTTTCTTCCATTCAAATTCTACTGACTCACAGTGTAAATACAAAGAGAATTCCTAGGAAAATCTGAAAACTGCAAGGTTAGTTTCTAAAAATATGGGCGTTATCAAAAACCTTCTCGGTGTATTAAAATATAGAAGATGACTAAGATTCTTCAATTAATACATGGAAAAAAATAGTAATATTCTTGCAATAATATTCATGATGGCTTTTATATATATATGTTAGGATCATGACTTATTAATTATTATTTTTATTATAACTATTTATTTTTCCTTTCACCCTCCATTTGTTAATTTTTCTTGACCATTATAGCACTTAGTTACATAGATACACAGGCTAAAAAGAGCTATGTGTCCATCAAGTTCAGTGTTCCTCACATTTGTTTTTTGCTGTTGATCCAAAAGAAGGCAAAAAAAACCCAGTTTGAAGCACTTCCAATTCTGCAACAAACTAGGAAAAATACTCCATCCTGAACGCAAAATGACAGTCAGAAATAGCCTTGGATCAAGCAGTTATTACCCTACATTGAAAAATTATATCCTTGAATATTCTGTGTTTGCAAGTATGCATCTAGTTGCTGTTTAAACATCTGTACTGACTCTGATAAAAAAAAAAAAAGCACTTCTTCAGGCAGAGAATTCCATATCCTTATTGTTCTTACAGTAAAAAACAGTCCATTTGCCTTAGACTAAATCTTCTTTCTTCCAGTCTAAATGCATAACCTCGGGTCCTATGTAAAGTCCTGTTTTGGGAATAGATTTCCACACAATGGTTTGTATTGGCCCCCAGTAATATTTGTATAATGTTATCATATCCCCTCTGAGGCAACGTTTTTCTAAACTAAAGAGGTTTAAATTTGTTAACCTTTCTACATAGCTAAAATGTTCCATTCCTTTTATTAATTTTGTAGTGCGCCTCTGCACTCTTTCAAGTGCCATAATATCCTTCTTTAGAGCAGGTGCCCAAAATTGCACAGTATATTTAAGATGTGGCCTTACCAGTGATTTATAAAGAGGCAACATTATATTCTCGTTCCTAGAATAAATGCCCTTTTTCATGCATGAAAATACCATACTGGTCTTAGCCACTGCTGATTGACACATTGTTGCATAGTTGTTTGTCAATTGTTTATAAACATGTTAAGTAGAAGAGGTCCCAGAACAGAACCCTGAGGGACACCACTTGCCACCTCTGTCCAGCTTGAAAATGTACCATTAATGACAACTCTCTGTACTCTATATTTAAGCCAATGTTCTACCCAAGAACAAGAATTTTTCACTTGTGCAATGAAAAAGGAGTTATCATTTTAACATGAACTTAATATAGTTCTAAGCACTTACAAACATACAAACACTCTTCAGACAATCCAGTTGCCACGGGAACACAGGTCTAATTCAGATCGCGATTATTGGTTCTTGGACTTGGTAGTCCCAGAGTGACTTTACAACATTGCACCCGTACAAACATGTTTTTGATAGATTGGAGTGCTTTTTTTACACCCACACTCTGATCTATCACCACTTTGGTGCCTCACACCTCCCTCTATTTGCAAGGACCAACCGATTAGTTAATCGGCATGCTCGCTTATTTGTTGACATCACGTGATGCTAGCCGAGAGCATACATGGGTATTCTTTCTAACAACCAACAACATAGTGCAATTGTGATCACAGATTTTAGCTCCAAACCTTAGAGGAACAATAGTTTCCTAGCCCTTTCTTTCTCTGGTATATCATGTTTTTTATTTTTTTTATTTATAGAAATAAAGTTATTTGTATAGATTGTTTTTAATATATGTTATACCAGATCCATAGTTATTTTATACTAGTCAAAGCAAGAAGCGGTATAATCTCAGCTCACGTATATTCCTTTTGGTGAGTGTTCTTCCATATTCAATGTACATAGAGTAAAAATAGAAAAACAGAAAATAGTGCTCTGTGTTTGAACTGAAAATATAGCTCAAAAAATTCTATGAAATATACTTACATTTAAAGGAGCATACACATGCTCGGATGGTAACAGCATGTGTGGTATAATCCCCACCTGAGATATGTAAGGACAAGTGGATAAGGTGCAGTAATTCCAGTTGTTTTTTTCAGGATGTTTAAGATGTTTAAGATAATATAAAATAAAAAGCAGGATCAAAATAAAATATGAAATAAATAAATAAATTGAATGGTAAAAACTATTTAATAACCAAATAAGCAATAAAAAAAAAAGTAAAATACTTTACAATTTCAAATCACAATGTGTTTCGCCTCTTAGGCTTTCTCAAGTTACAGAAATAAGAGTCCTGCATGTAGCCCTATTTATAGGGCAACTGAAAAAGGCGGGTAAATGACATCATCAAGGTCATATGACCATTGTAACACATATGTGATTGATTAATAGCAAACTAGTATAACAAATATAACAATAAAATAAAATTAAAATAGTTTTTATTAGGTATTTAATATTGTAATAAAATAAAAATGACAATAATTAAATGAACAATAATAAAAAAAAAAATGGGAAGGGGAAACTTGGGGAAATATTCACCTGAATTTACAATATTTTTCTTCAATATTGATATGTCTATAATTATAATGTATCTACGTAAAACAAATAAAACAAGTTTGTACTACTAATAATTTACAGTTTCAATAATGTGAATTATAAATGATAAGATTTTTTAACCTTGTTTCTCCACTCAGTCTAGAAATAATGATGCTGATCCCATAATAAAGATGGCTTTCTAATAGCCATCTTATACGATGTTGTTTTCTAATGCTAACTTTAGTACATAAACTATAGAGGGTATAGCATGGGATTTCCAATATCTGGGTAAGTAGGATATGGCAGCTTTAAGAATATGTCCTATGATTACTCTGTCTACTTTATTAACAGATTCTGGAAAAAAAAAATTAAGAGCCCTATTTGGGCCAACAGTCTTAATAAGTTAATGCATATCACTCCAGAATCTAGCAAGTTTAGGGCAATACATCCAAATGTGTGACATGGTACCCATCTCATCACACTCCCTCCAATATTTGTCTGAGACTTTAGGATTTATTTTGTAAAGGCGTGATGGAACCAGGTACCAGCGATAGAGAATTTTTAAATGATTCTCATGATGACTAGCACACTGCATGATACCTCTCATGGTTAGAATAAAACTTGTCCAAACCAG